CATGTACAGGGCTAGGAATAAATAGGAGCCTGATTTTAGGAGGTGTCTGGGAGAAGGCAGCTTTTCAGTGTTTGTCTGATATATCTGCACGGTGTTTTTTTTTTTTGGGGGGGGAGAAGGGGACAGTTATGTGTAGAGACATAAATCCTTGGGATTTATTTTCCCTAGTGTATGTGCTTGCTTCTGCTTTTGATCCTAAATGCATTTAAATGATTTAGTTGTTCACCAGGCAATTAGAGGAAGATGTGCTCATTTCACACTCACAATGGACCTGGTGGGTGAGGGAGAATGTCATGCAATGCAAAGCGCTATGGTTTTATGGTCTTTCCTTCAAGAAGAATCTAGTCAGGGATTGGAGAATAGACTGTAAGCCACATTCTCCTTACTTATATTGGGCAAAAATTTTGAATGCAAAAGGTAGAGATTTTTTTTTTGTTAAGATACTTATTTTGCCAGAATAAAAAAAAAATAGGGATATTTTACTTTATATGCTTTTGACTTCTGGTTTCCTTTTGAAAACCATAATTCCTGGCTATGTGGACCTGCATTGCCCTGTAGTGGCGATTAGGCTACCTCTTCATATGAGTCCTACTTTTGGTTTCTTGGCAGTCCCTATCACTAGTATTTCTTTTCTTTCCTTCCTTCCTTCCTTCCTTCCTTCCTTCCTTCCTTCCTTCCTTCCTTCCTTCCTTCCTGAGAGGGGAGGAACTGGGGATTTAATCTAGTGTCACTTTACCATGGAGCCACATCCCCAGCCCCTTTTTTAATGTTTTATTTTGAGAAAGGGTCTCACTAAGTTGCTGAGGCTGGGTTTGAACTTGCAATCCTCCCACCTCAGCCTTCCCTGTCACTGTGATTACAGGTGTGCACCACCACACCTGGCACACTATGCCCAATCCTCTTCATCATCCCAGACAGAAATGGTCTGCATCAGACGCCATTCTCTCATTTCCCTTCTCCCAGACTCTGATCATCTCTACTAGACTTTGTTTCTGTGAATTTGCTATTCTAAGTTCCTCATATAAGTGAAAGAAAACATTTGTCCTTTGTGCCTGGTTGATTTGAACTCACCTAATGTTTTCAAGGCAGACTTTAGTTTTTCAAAGTATAGATGTTAATGATTAGAGCATAGATATTGTGTTTTATTGCACAATAGAGGAGCTGCATTTTGTGGACCAAAAAAAAAAAAAAAAAAAAAAAAGAAGGTCAAACAGGGCAAATAGTTTGGGATGGAAAATCATGAATTTTGAGATTAAAATGATTCTCCTTTTTTCCATATTACTATATGGATTTTGTAACATGTAGTACTCAAGCAACTCAGTGTCTTTACACAGGTGTTTTACAGCTAGTGGTTAATTCTCCTGGTATCCCCCAGAGGGCTTTCCATATTTTACAGTCAGGATATGAAGACATAGGGATGCTGTGGGGATTAGTTAAATGTGTGTGGCACAGTTTGCTGTATAAACTCACTTTCTGGAACTAGTTTTTATTCCCTGCTCTTAACTTCCACAGCTTTTACTGTCAATACCATTCATTTAGCACTTAGCATATGCTTGTTAGTTATCTTTTTATGTATATATCCTGGAAGGCAGGAGCCAAGTCTCATACCTCTTTGTTTTTACAGTCCTGTCCATAATAGCAGTTCAATTGATGTTTGTTGATGTTGGCCTCCCCCCACCCCCTTTTAAGTAGAGCAGACAACCCATAGCTTTAAATTCAAACTCAGTTTAAACAAACTGAAAGGTTTTCATGGTAAAAACACAAAGGAACTCTTGCGTGCAGGAGAGAAGGAACACCTAAGACCCTTGGAAGACCCAGGTAAAGCAGAGGTACCCAAAAACCTGTTGTTTGCCACAGGCTAGAAGTGACTCACACAGGGCCTGATTCACCTTTAAGTTCAGAGCTCTGCTAACTCTACTCCATCAAAATTGGAATTTGAAGAAGAGTCATGCTCAAGGCAGTGTTGAAAAGGGGATGTTGAAATAGTCATGTTTTAGGGGTTTCCAATGTATGAAAGCTTCAGTAGCTGTGGGGAAGGCATGTTGGAAAAGTCTTTTCAGGGCAACTTAAAGGTTTGGGGCAGGCATATTACAAATTTGGCTGTCAGGCCTTTGCTACCAGAACTTTTTTTTTTTTTTCCCCCTAGCAACTTCTCTAGTGACAAGATGGAAAACGGTCTAAATCCCATCTTAATAGGGTAGTGGGTAAAATAATTTTTGTACAATTTGTAATAAAATATTGAGTTATCATGAAACAGAATGAAGTAAAGGTAGCTATTCTGAGATGGAAGGGTATTCAAGATGATACATTGCTGAGTAAAGAAACTCAAGGTATGTTTCAAGTGCTAATCCCACTTTTAAGGGATACAATGGAAAGCAAAGTGATAGAGAGGAACTTTTCACTGTGCTCCTTCAGGGTGGTTTTACTTTCATTTTGCCATGTGCAAATTTTATTTTTTCCACTTTAACAGCATAGGAATTTGTTTTGGAACCCAGAATTGAACACAGAAGCGCTCAACCCCTGAGCCACAACCCCAGTTCATCTTTTATATTTTTGTTTAGAGACAGGGTCTTGCTAAGTTGCTTAGGGCCTAGATATGTTGCTGAGGTTGGCTTTAAATTTGCAATCCTCCTTTCTCAGTCTCCCAAGTCACTGGAATTAAAGGTGTGTACCATCACACCCAGCAGAGTCAGCAATTTTAACAGGTATTCTGTTGCCATTGTTATCAGTAGTGGTCTTCCAGCATATTCCCTCCCTATCTAGTTTTCTTGTCCACACCTTTAAGTAACAAGTTAGAATAATCTTGCCTCAAAAACCAGATGTCTCCATGTTTTAAATACTCAAAAATCACCTTCTTCATGAAAAATCATCCAAATAACCTCCTTTCACACACAAACTGAATCATACCAAGCACCCACTTTGCCAGTTTTCCTGCTTCGGAGTCAATATCAACAATTCCTAGCACAAGCCTGACCGCACACTCCATGACATGCCATCTGCTCCCAACTCTTCCTGTACTCAGAAGGATATTCTGAGACGGTGTTCATGGTGAGATAGTGTTTACCTTGAGCTCACTTCTCTTGCATGCCTTGATCCATGGTCCTTCAGAAGGCTCCCATTAGGCAGACTTGAATTGGATGCCACTCTTTCATTGGTATGAGTTCATTACCATGACTCTGTGTTTTCAAGGCCTTTACATTTAGATTTGCTTCCTACTTGAAACATTTTCTAGGAAATATGGATGTGTAAAGAATGGTGGTTTCCATGGCAAATGTTCCCTCATATTTTTTTCTCAAGTTCAATTCAGAGATACACAGCATGATTTCCTCTTTCAGTGCAGTACCAGCACCACAATAGATTTAGGTTGTATCACAATTCCAGAATTGTTTAAGAAAGAAATCTCACCCACTCTGGTTAGAAAATGCATAATTTATTATTCTAACTGCAAGGAGTCAACTTAGTACCCACTCCCAAAATTGTAGGAAAAGAATTGACTTTTTAAGCCATAAAACCTACACAATCTTGGAATAAACACTTAAAACAGATGAGCAGAATACTTGAATCTCAAGCACACGTGAGACTCTCCAAGTAGAACACATACATGTGTGGAATGCTTTGTGGTGTACAGAGTTTTCACATACATTTCATTTTATTTTTACACCAGTGCCATTAAATTAATAGGGCATATCTTATAGCATTTATTTAGATAGGAAAATTAAGGTTCAGAAGCTAAGCCACTTAAAAGTCATACAACTAGCTAATAAACGCTAGAGCCCACGATGAATTCTTCCTTTGGTTCTAAATTCCATGTTATTTTGCTATCCCTAAACTGTTTCTTCGTGCTTTCGTTTTCCCAGATGTAAAATGGTAGATTTTCCATCTCCCAGGATGCTATTGCACTTAACCCTTTGTATTCTTAGGCAATATCAATTTTCCTCAGTTTTTGAACACCACATTGACACTTAATTTACTCTCTTAATGAATTAAGAGGGAAAGTTACCTATTCCCAAAGGGTTGGACAGTGCCATAAACATAAAAGTGTACTGGAGTCAGCCGACACACTGTCACACTCTTTTATGAGACTAAGAAACAAACGTCTCATCTTTCTATTCCCAGCAGTAACTGGGAGAGAACACAGAGCCAGACAATAGCCTCTTGTGTAGTTTTATTAATTTTGAGGGCGGGTGGGACGAAAGAATCGGATTGGCGATTGAAAAGACCAATCACAAGCAATCCCAGTCCAGAACTGGCCAATAGGTAGCTGCAAAAGAATGGTGGGTGGGACTTACATATAGGGCTTGCTCCGCCCAGGCCTGTGCTCCCAGCCCGCCCCACAGGTGGAGCCTCTGCAAAGGCCCGCCCACGCCTCCCCCCAACCTGCCCGCTCGGCCTGCCACCAGGAGGGGGGTTAGGGCCCCCCGCCTGCCAAGGAACCGCAGCCGGGAGAGGGGGGGCGGGGAGTGGGAGGCCGTGGGTAGTGAAGGAAGAAAGGAGGGTGTCTCTCAGAGCTGTGATCTGGGTGGGAGCCTGCTGGTAATAAGAAGCAATAGGGAAAGGAAAACGAAGGAGTATTGCTCCTTCCTGCATTATTTTAAATAGGTTTGGTAGAAGCTGCTTTTCAGCATTTCTGTTGTTTTTCTTCCTCCCCCTGCGAGGCGGGGAGCTGCACTGACTCTCCCACGCGACTCTGATGCGCTGTTGCTGCGGATTTTTACTGTAGTCTCCTCAAACCCCTTTCCTTCCTCCTGGTTAGTCCCTGCGTGTACACACATAGGGTTTCCGTAACCAAGTCGTGTCCCGCTGGTGAGAGGAAAGCGAAGGACCCCTGCTTTCACCCGAGCTCCAGGACCCCGCCGTTCAATTGTTTGAAACTTCCCCGCCCCCCGGCCCCGCCTCTCTTGCGTGCCCGTCCCCCCGCCTTCCAGGGTCCGGGCAGGCTCTGGCCCTTATTTCCCCGCCCTCTACTCCGCCCTCCTCCGTAGTCCACCCTCCTCGCTCCTGGGCGGTCCTAGCCGCTCACCGAAAGAAGAAAAGCCACCCATTCCTCCCCCTCCCCTAACCTCCCATCCTTTGCCCAGGAGCTGCCTTCATCGCAGTCACGCCCCTTCCTTCCGAGGAGCTTTCTGGCTGCCTAAACTGGTAGACCCCTGAATTACTCCTCCATCTCTTCTCTTTTGCCTCCTCTCCTCTTAGTTCCTACCGCCTCCCCCACACTGCCACCACCTCCAGTCTGTCTAGCTTCCCACCATCCGCTGCTCCACCCTCCGGCCCGGTATCCTGCCTGTCCACTGCCGCCAAGGAGATCCCGGACGGAGCAGCGAGGAGGGGAGCAGCCAGGAGTTGGGGCTTCCCCCCTGCCCATCCCTGGCCTCTGGCCCGCGACCGAAGCCACTTCAGCTAGCAGAGAGTCGTCATCTTCATTGCCTTCAGGGGTAGGAGACGCGTGGTTACTTTTCGCGGGGAACTGGGACCGAAATCCATGGTGGCGTGAACTTGATTGTGCCCTCGGCGTGAGTGAGTTGGTCTAGATGTGTGTGGGGATACCCGAATGTTCTACTTTTTTTGCAGCTGGCCATGAGTTTTCTGGGATGTACAGCGAGTTAAATTGAAGAGTGCGCACTCCTCTCCCGTCCTACTTTGGCGAGGAGATGCTAGAGGGTACCACTACTTGATGGTACTTTTACTTCCTTGCCTCCTGTGTATCTTGTAGGTCTCTAGGTAATTAATCGTTTAAGGAACTAAAGACCTAAGGGAAGCTGAGGTCTACCTTAACATCCAGCATGAATACTCGTGCTTATCTCAGATAACTAGAGGGCTTTCTAGGTTTGGGGTGGGGGCACACCCTCCCTGACCCCCGGGCTGTGAATTCTTGAAGTTTTAAAGGCTGGGAGTAATCTACAACCTCTTGTGTGTGTGCTTGTGGGTTTTGGTGCTGGTGTTCATGGTGAGGAGGGGGTTGCCTTTCCCAGCTTTATAAGATCTGAAGATGGCAGTAAGTAATTTTGCACTGTCAAGCAGGTGCCTTGAGTTTCCAAGCCTGGTGCTTCAACAGTAAAATGGACTTCTTGGTATATGAAAATGATGAGTAGGAAAAGTGAGAGGGAAAATGACAGTCTTTATAAACTGTGAGGGGTCCCTGATAAATTAAGTGACTCATTACAAATTAATGGTAGAGGAAAAGGGAAAGCTTATGTGAGAGTGTTTTTCAGTCTCTAGTATCATTTAGCAAAAGTTTTCCCACACCTTGAGTTGATTTGTTCAGTTCTCCCTCTTCCTACCACAAGGAGTGGACATTGGGAGGTGATTTAAAACTTTTATGAATATAACCTTCTCCCATTCAAAAGGAAGATAATTAGTCACCATAATCTTCAATGATGAAGGGCTAAGGATATTTAAGTGTCCTTGAGCTAGGCTTTGTGAAAAGTTCTTTCTCAGGCCAGCTTTTGTGAAGCCTCCTCAGTTAGACCTTTCAGTACCCCCATTTAGTAACTATGAATAGTCTGTAGTGCCGTTTTGGACATGGGATAAATTTTCACCTATCTTCCACCTATCTTCAAATGGACAAGGACATTAAGGTCTTAAGAATGGTGGTGTTTAAAAACCTGTTACTGAGATATCCGTGGCCTGTTGCTTATTTGGGAGCAAGCTATTATATTTAAAATAATTCCTTTGGTTGATTTTAGTGGGGGAAAGGAAAGCAGGAAGGTAGAGAAGGAAAGTTACATGGCGACAGTTTTAAAGGCTATCAGGTTTCGGATCAGCTGGGAGGGAAAAGTTGGCCTGACCAAACTACATTTTGTAACTGGCCTGGGACATTTTAATAGCCAGGTGGTTGTAGAGTAGTTGCATCTATTTACAGAGGATAACTCAGGTTCCAGCTATTCTCTATGGGTTTATCCGGTGTCATTTACAGACACTTTCTGGCAAGACATCATACTTCATTTGAGGTTACTTCTTTCTTTGGAAAAGTTTGTGGCTCTGTAAAATTGCAAGAATTTTTTTTTTTTTTTTTTAAACTTCACAGCCTGGACGAGAAGTAAACGTGGGACCACAGTTGTATGTACAGTAACTTTCACGTGAATGTTGTGGGGCTGCTTACCTATTTTAAAAGGTTTTAGAAAGGGAATTTAAAAAATTCATATTCAATACCGTTTGGGATTTGGAACTTAAAATCTCATTTCTGGTTTATGAAGTAGGATTTATTAGACTGATGCATAACTAGGGCATTCTGTGGAGTTGCCTTTTCTGAAGTTTTATAAAGAATGAAGCAGATTCTTTCTAGAATGTTTTAAGAACCTTCTAATGGGACGGCAGAGGGATGGATGCTCTGACTTTGAGGTCCCATTGAGTGCCAGAATCCTAAGTGGGTACATCTGCTTCTGGGCCTCTCCCAAGAGCCCTCTCCCAGGGCCTGTGCCTTCTTTAAAAGGGTGTCTTTGTAATTAAGCAGCCATTCTCCCCCATCCCCCTTTCTTCCTTTGATCCAGCTTTTTAAGGCCTTTTTTCCCCATTTGAAGACAAGAGGAGTTTCTCACACTCTCCTGCTCCCCTCTTAAGTTTTCTTTTCCTTTACCCCAGAAAAGTCCCCTGAAGTTCTCAGGATGGTTTGAAATTGTTTTGTTTGGGGCAGCAGGGTGTGGGGGATGTTACCAATGAAGAAGAACAGAGGATATATTCCCTCTTGGAAAATGCTTGTGGCCAGGTAGTCTCCTCCATGGAGACTGAGCATTTGGAATGCATGAGAACAGTCTATTCTTAGGGACTGTCTGGTAGAAATTGTCCTTTGCACCCATTAAGCCCAGCTTAAACCCACTGAAAGGAGTGGAGAGAGGTGTGTGTGGTCGTGGCAGAGCCTTTTAGGATGGTAAATGGGTAGATGTTTCCAAATCTCCTATTACATCACCTCTTTATCCCATGGATTCAGTGGATTTAGAGATCTGCTTGACAAGTTAATTAGCTGGAGACTAAACCAATTTGTTTAGAATTGTGATCCATTGATTTCCTGTCCCCAGGAATTTTTGTTGGTGTTTTACTATGATGTGTTGTCTTTAGTCTTTCTTACTTTTCATTCCTTGCTGCCTTTTGTGGACTTTGGTCCAAAATCGAGGGTCCCACCCCCAAGTCAGAGGTTACAATTTGGTCCAAGGAACTAAGGGGGCATTAAACATGCTGGCCATACTGCATTACCTCCCCTATACTGGGCTTCTGACCCTTTTTAGGCCGGGGAAAGGAGAGAAGTTGCCCCTTCCATACACAACACACAATCTTAAAAAAAAGAAAGAAAGAAAATAGGTCTTTTTCTTTATAGAAGAATCCAACAGCTTTCTTTGAAAGAACTAACTTTCGTACTTAGTGCCTTTAAACGGTAACTTGATATATACATAAAAATTACTATAACTGGATATTCTCAGGAACATATTTATTGCATAAAGAAATACATTAGAAATTGTTGTAATGATTATTGCTTGAATTAAACGAGGTCATTATTTGGCTTTGAAAGTTTTTTTTTTTTTTTTTTTTGTTATGTTGGTTGGAGTTAATTGTTTAAATCATTCTGACTTGTAATAATGCTGGCCATGTTAGCTCCGGCCCACAACTGTTTGGAGAAGGGAGCTAAGATTACTTTCTGGAAATAAATTGTATTTCATGGATTTTGAACAAGTCTAAGCATGGGATGTCTACTTCATTTCAGTAATAGATTTTATTCTTAATTATTGTATTTGACTAACACAAGGATCTAGAAAAACATTTCTAGTAACTAATGGTAACTGATGCCATTTTAAATCTGAGAATCTATGGTAAGTTCTCCTGTGAGCCTATTGCTGTGAATGACCTGGGCTGTAGGCCCAACTATAACTTGGTTTACCACCCTTGGCAATCATCCTCCACTGTAAATTGCAGAGGTCAGGCCGTGTGATTTTGAGAGCCAGTTCTCAGAAATTTTTGGTTCTCTCTCTAGCCTTCATTATTAGATGCAAATGTGAATGATTGCTACTAGAATGAGGTGCTTTCTAGAAATACATGAGGTGCTTTGTTAGAAATTCAATCATGCAGTCATCCTGTTTTTTTTTTAAAGAGCCTGTAAAGATGTATCAATATAAAAACATTGTTTTATAGTTTAACAACATCAAATTGAAAAGCTAAACTTTATCAGAAATCCCAGCATCCTAACAGATCACCTGCATTCATTTTTCCTGGTTCTTTTCAAGTCCTTATGCCTGTACTAAAGTGAATTTTACATAATTATAAGTCAAAGAAATAGACAATGTTGTTTTAAAATAAGAGTTTACCTAAGTCCTAAGTCCTTGCTTTGTAAACCTGTGTAGAGGAATGAAGTTGGAACCTGACCGAGTACACATGAAGCATCACATACGTTTTGTTTCTGTTTTAATAAGTAATCACTAAACAATTTTCTGTGATTTGGGGGTTGTTGATAAATCTAACAAGGCTTTTACTTCTATTCTTATGACTGCTTGTTACCTTCCCCCATTCTTTTAAAGTAACAAAACAGACACAAACAAAACTCACAAACAAAAACCAGGAACCACATTTTATTTTATCTAAATCATTGACAATGATTCTTAAAGCACTGTATTATGATATCCCATTAAAACGGTACAAATTTGGGTAGACTATGAAATCTCTGGAATGAGAAAGAAGCTGGCCAGCACAGATAAGCTAGTTTTATAGCTTTGAAAAAAATATGTTTAAATCAGCCTGAAAAAAATAGCAAGAAAACTAAGGACTAAAGGCATTTAAATAAAAGATATGTAGGTGCAATGAAGTGGCTCACACACAATGGGTTCTTCACCATGTAGTGAAAGTTCAGTTATGTGGACCTTTAATTTTCCTTTGATAACAAAGTTATAGCCAACATGAAATCTCCAATTTTTGATGGGGTCAATAATGAACTTTCTCTAAAATAGAAAAACAAGGTATGGATCTTTCATATTTATGAGGTACCAAGTGAAGTACAAGAATATTTTTTGTAATATGTGCTCACAGGGAAAAATTCAGATGGATCTATTTGCTAATATTTCCTAAAGCAACTCTTAAAAAAAATCTACTTAAAAAAAAAAAAAAAAAAAAAAAACTCTGTGGGCTTGCTTGACATTTGTAAAGTCACTTTCACTCTTGCCCCAACTCCATGAAATGGCATTAGCCTGTGTGACTTGAAGCCAGGATCTGGGTTTCTCTGCCCAGTCCTTTCTGACTTGCCATGTGACCAAGGGTAGATGAATTAGCTGCTCTAAGCTTCAGTTACCCTTCTGGGAAGCAGGGATATTAATACTTCACAGAGGTGTTTAGGCATGCTTCATATTGGGTGCATGCTTTGAGGTCATTGGATGAAAGGTGTTTGCATGATGGTGGCAGAGCAGGCTTATTATAGGGTCCTGAGCAGGTGTTCACTTTTAATGAGCTTTGCTCTCTTATAACATACAGTGCCCTTTGGTGCCCCATTGCCTTACTGACTATAATTAAGATTGACCCTACATTTGTATTATTGACCTTCTCAGCTTTTTGAAAAACAATGAAACATTTTCAGACTCTGAGGTAAATTGAGGACCCAATAAGAACTCCAGCCACTGCTGGATTGATGAAGAATAGCTTCAAAAAGAGACATTTGTTGGAATGTGCCATAGTGATCAGTGAGTTCTTCAAAGCTCCTCCAAAATGTTAGAGTAAAGCAAATCTCTTCATGTCCGTGCTTTAAGGGAGAAAGTTTTGAGTAATATTTGCTTGTGACAAATACTGACGATAGCCAGTAACTGAAATCCAGCCATTGTAGTGTTTTTTGTACAGCTGGTTTTTATTAATGATGGAATATTTATGCTTGCTGTACAATTCGTGGCTCATTTCCATGTGTATGTCAGAACTTAAATACCCCCCAAGGCAACATTAAGATAACATTAAATATAAATGTGGCCAAGCTAGAAAGGGTGAATTTGGGGGGCTCTCCCTTATTTTTAATGGTGTTGGTACAGATCGCACCAACTCCCCCCCCCCCGTTAGGCATGGATACTGATTCATTTTTCCCTTATAATATCCAATAACAAACTTCACATTGTGATCCTTTTAATATGGACAAATGATTTGCTCCCCCCTTTATAATGCAGATGAAACTGATGTATGTGTTTTTTAAGAGCATATTTCTCCCCCCCCCCCCCCCCCCCCCCCACTGCACATGCTTCTCATTATCCAAGAGGCCTGGACTCAATCAGTAAAGGAGCAGAGAAACCACATAATTGAAAGGAGAATGACGGTGGTGCATACTTGGAATATTTGTGGGAAGGGGATTGCTGACATCAGAAAATGTAGTGGCCTGAGTGTTAACAGCATTGAAGAGAAATCAGCTTTCTGTGTTTCTGTGTATTGAGAATTATTTTTAAGGGTATAGAAATATGGGCCAGGTTTGACATCCTTTTACGAAGTTGTCCTGGAAACTTTGATGAAGGTTGTTATAGAATAGTTCAATTAAAACCTTCCCCATTAGGAAGCTAATTAGTGCATCCCTTACTCATTTTGGTTCTTTTTAAGGGGCATGGATTTACATTGAGTTAGTGACTTTTTTCCATGTGATAGCAAACTAAGATAAAAATCACAGATGGGGAAAATTATTTAAATTGCCTATTTTAAAGAAATTGAATTTCCTCTTTATTACATTTAGGTTTTCAGTTTAGATTTTTGTTTTACTCTGTTTATATGCAGTGATCACATTTTAGTTTAGTAGCCAGTTTAACTTTCTGGATCATGGGCTGTAAACCAAAGTGTATTCATTTGAGTTTCCCATGTGAATTGGAGAAAGACAACTAATCATAATAAACCATTTTATTAAGGTAATATTTGATTTTCTTTCCTTCTACAATTACTTTCTCTCTGCTCTGTGTGTGTGTTGAGAGAGAGAGGGAGAAGGGAGGGAGGGACTGGGGGAGGCAGATTGTTTTTTAAAAGCAAACAATTTTGGGAGCTAAGAAAATATTGATGACCCCCTTTACCCCCAAGAGCATTCTGTCTGCCTCAGGCTGCCAGTTAGGCTTTGGTTAGGGGAATGTGATGAGTTTTCTGACCTGGTGCTTTCTGGGACCAGACTAAGCACTTCTCTCTTGATAGCCTGAAGGAGAGGGGTTATGGTGACAATAGGAAGGCAAGATTGCTAGCAGTCCCCTACCCTCGCCATTCTAGTGATGGAACCCAGGGCTTCTCCCATGATAAGCTAGTGCTCTACCACTAAGTTACATCCCCAGCCCAGCCTAGCAAATTCTTTCTACTATACTCCATCTTTTTTAGGGGAATGAGTACTGGCCTCTCAGGTTTCAGGGCCATTTGCAGTACAGTAGATGCTCTATAGTAGAATATATAATTTGGGTCTGTTGTGGTTTTCCTTTGTCCCATAACTTGTAGGGGCCAGTCATTCTGTACATATGTTCCCTGATGCTATCCCCAGGGTATATGTTTGCACTAGTGTTTGCAAGTGGGCAAGTTGTCTGGGTTATGTGATTTGTCATTTAACTCATCACTCCATAGTCCTCCTTGGGAAGGAAGAGTCTAGATTTAGTTTTGCGGTGGCAGCTCAGTCAAACCAGGTTGCTAGTGCTTGCAGGCCAGTAGCAGGAGGAGGGGCTGCTCCTGCCTTGGGAGAGTGACTCAGGCCCTTTGGCATGAAGATACGAAATGCTGGCCCCTGTCCATGCACCTGCTGGATGCCACACCTGCACTACACACCTGAGACCCACTCAGACACAAAAACCATACCATAGGAGGAGGGGACTCCCTTTGAAAAGGTTCAGCAAAACAGGGAGCTCCCCTGGGAATTACATTTAGCCATCCCAGTGTTGGTTTGCACAGACATCTTATATATTTTCTGCTGGGTGCAGCTCACTCACTTGCTCAAGATATTGTTGGAGTGCTAAAGGAGTTTGCTTTTTGAGTGGATTTTTCTTGTGAACTCTCCTCTTAAGAACCAGAAAGCAGTCTGTGGAGGATTTTGTCTTATAATTGAACATAGGGCCGAAAGTCAGACCTGGCTTCTCATCCTGGCCAAATTAGTTATCATTAGCTATTTGTTCTGAACTTGAGTTTCTCCAGCTGTAAAATGGAATTAATTGTATATGCCTTTATTTCTGCACAGAGCTGCTGAGAAGGATAACAGAAGTGAAAGAGTGTTTGACTTCTTAGAAGGAAGACTGAAGAACTAAAGGTAATAATAATATATTCCATGTCTTTCATATCTTTTCTTCTCTTGCTGTTGCCTCTAGCAAAATCTTCAGGAAGGAAGTTGTTATTTACTCAATATGCAATTATTAAGGAATATATATATATATATATATATATATATATATATATATAGTTTTAGGTGTTTGTGCACATACAGTGAAAAAAACCACACACCTAGTCTGTGTCCTCTAATATCTCACAGTCCAGTCCATCCATTTTCATTTCCATTTCCAGCTCAATACATTGCTGTGATTTCTGCCTGGACACTTAGAAGCATAAATGGAGAGAATTAACTTTTATTTTTCTCTCTGTGTGAAGCCGAGGGCTTCCATCCTTAGAGCAATGTGTTATTTCAATGTTTAGATTGAAAGTATATGGTGGCTAGGCTTGGTGACTCAGTCCCATAATCCCAGCTATTTTGGAGGCTGAGGCAGGAGGATCACAAGTTTGAGACCAGCCTGGGCATCTTAGCAAGACCCCATTCAAAATAACATAAAAGGGGTGGGGATGTAGCTTAATGGCTTTTCACCTAGTGTGTGCAAACCAGGACTGCCAAAAATAAAAAAAAGAATAAGGTATATGGAGGGGGGAAACATGGAGTAAATAAAGGAATTTCTCTCACTTGCACATTTGCAAAGTGTATAATCCTCGAATGATAAATTTTTCTAGGGTCCATCCTCAGTTTCATCTTTGAGTCTCTTCCATTTCTACTCTGTATGGTCCAAACCTTTTCTTAGGATCTTAGCTATTACTCATATGCTAATGACTCCCAAAGATATATCTCAGCTTGTCTTTGAAATCTAGTTAGTCCCCACATTCCATGTCTTGTACTCAGTTCATGGAAGTTTTCCCCTCAGGGAAGCTTTCAAGGGAGTGCAGAGTCCTCCACATTGTCAGAGCTGTTTGTTCATACCTCTGTTTTCCATTGCATTATGACTCCTCTTCTTGCTGGGAGCTCCTTGAGGACTGGGTTCCGTTTTCTTTCTCTTTTTTTCCCACCCTGGGGCCTATATAACACCAGGTATGGCTATAGTTAAGTGCTCCCTCAATGCCTATGGAAAATAACACTGTGATCAGTACTGTAATGATCATGTATACAAAAGCCAGTAGGATCCTAGAGAAGAGGTAATCAGTTTTCCATATTGAGCAGAATTGGGACAGGGGGTACACAGAGATGGTAGAAAGCAAAATACCCTTTTCTGAGAGTTCTGGCAAAGAAGTGAAAGAAAAAAAAATGCCCGTTATGGCTGCTCTCCCTAAGCCAGGGCCATCTCTGGCCTGTTGCCTCCTCTGCCTTAGTACTGGATAAATTTTATGATTGAGTCTACAAATAAACCTCTGTCTAAAACATATTGACTATTTAATACAGGTGCCATTTAGTCATTTAATATTAAATAGAGCTGACCTTAAAAGTGCTACCTTAACTGAGGCTGTGAATAGAGTTATTGGTCATTAAATGTTTAGTTTCTTCTTTTTTTTTTTTTTGTTGGCACTGAAAATTGAACCCAGGGGTGCTCTACTCGTGAGCTACACCCTCATCCCTTTTAATATTTCATTTTGAGACATATTCTCATTAAGTAGCCAGGCCCAGGGTGGTCTTGATGTTGTGATCCTCCTGCATCAGTCTCCTGAGTCGCTGGGATTACAGGTGTGGGCCACGGTGCCTGGCTCATGTATGTTTAGTTCTATCCAGTAAAATGTCCTTTAGGATATATTGAAAATTGGGATCTAAAAACTAACAAATTCCATTTTCAGAATGTAGCAGGCTGTCTCACTAGAACTGAATGTCTTCAAGCTGACTGTCAGATCTTTCCAAGGGCAAAAATGAAAGATGATATAAGCCATTACAGGCCATGAACCTGTTCTCACCCACCTGATGCTTTTACTAATTAGCTTCTTGGCTGAGTGGCAATTTGGGGCAAGTGCATGCAAGCTGGATTCCCAGGGGAGCCCAAATTCCACTCTGCCATTTCGCAAGCTGCTGGGATACTACACTGCTTCTCTTGGCCTCTCTCCCTCCACAGAGCCCTGCTCTGCCCTTTTGGAGAAATGGGAGCAGGAGAACTTTTCATTAAGTGAGCTAGAGATTTTATGGGGCTTTGGTATATACTGGTTGTAGTTTTTTTAGTGGGTTGTCTAAAACATTCATACATCTTGACCTATTAATTTCACTTCTGGGATTCTATTGTTAGGAAACAATCCAAAATATCAAAAAAGACAAATCACAAAGTTGTTTTTGTAACATTATTTAGACTATCACACAAGACTGGAAGCCATTCATGTCTTAATAATTGGAGAATGGGTAAGTGAATCTTGATGCACTCATTTAATGAATTATTACACAGCCATTACAATGTTTGTTATGAAGTCTATGCTACAATGCTTATGATAAAGTGAAACGAAGGATCCAAGATATTGTGTACATTAGTATTTCATAGATTCATGGGTTGTGGCTCAGTGGTAGAGCTCTTGCCTTGCACATGTGAGGCACTGGGTTCAATTCTCAGAAGCACATATAAATGAATGAATAAAATAAGGTCCATCAACAACTAAAAAAAAATTAAAAACTATATAAGAAGAACTGAAGGGAATATTCTATGATGTTATGCTTGGATTGAGGTGCTGGGGTTAATAAATGATTTATTTTCTCTATTATAATATTTACATACTGTGCTTCTTTTACTTGTAAAAGAAAGTATAAATAAGAATAAAAGTGTGTAGTATGCCATCAGAGGCAAGAGATTGGTAAAGAAGGCATTTTCTAGGTGAATTCCTGAACTTTTCTCATTTTATGTTCAATTTGATTTTTTGGGCCCCTTACACTTTTTCTGAGGTGATAAGGAATGGGATGTGATAGCATGGTTGAGTCCTCTGAAATGGATGTGGGTGTTGGGGATGGAGGGGGAGTGGCAACAGGATTCTCCCTGCAACCCAGTATTTCATGGCTCATTTCCACTTTAGGGTTGATCACCTTCATTGCCTATTAACTTGTTCAAGTTAACTGCTTCAGAGCACAGTAAAGTATAACCAGGACCCCAAATTGACCAAGCTTTTGAGTTACCATCTTAGAAACAGATCTCTCACACTGATCCTCAGTAAGATTTGGAAATATCGAGCCCTAGCTGTGGTTTAAAGATAATTTTTCAGCCTAATCTAGGAAAAGGTAGAGGTAGGAGCAAAGAGTTGGGGCCAACTCTTTCCTTAAACCTTTTCTTAAGCTAATGCAGAGTTAAGTAAGAGCAAATGCCAATATAGTATTATGGTTACAAGATCTAGAACAAGAACCTGGGAGCATTGATCAGTGGGGATTTATGTACATATCTAAGTCTCAAGAAGAGAGATTTTGCAAGGAACTTCTGCCATAATTCTAGCTAAACACTTTCCTCTTACCTTTTAAAATTTCTTCTCTTGTTATTAATGTTTTACTTCCCACAGAACTGGGAAAATTAGTGGTGATGTTAAGCCAGATTTATAATCTCTTAAACCAGAGTATATTCAATTTAATAAATATTTATTAGGAATCTTCTCTGTACTAGCTAATAATACCAGATAATATATTGTAGTGAAAGGGCTCTTACCTTAGCATTTTGTCCTAACTGCTCAGGAGGCCTTGACAAGAAGATTGCAAGTTCAAAGCCAGCCTCAGCAAAAGTGAGATGCTTAGCAACCCATTGAGACCCTGTTTCTAAATAAAAAATACAAAATAGGGCCGGGGATGTGGCTCAGTGGTCAAGTGCCTCTGAGTTCAGTCCCCAGTACCCTCTCCCAAACAAAAGAAAAAACAAATAAAAAACTGCTTTCTGGTTTTGGTTCTGACCTCTTTAGCATCATCATTTCATAGAAAGAGGTAGGTGGGCCATTAAGTGATCTCCTAAGAGTCTTTCCATGACTTTGATCTAGGGACTGCTACACCAAAGACTGAGTTGCAAGTAAAGGCTTTTTTTTTAACTTCAGAGAATTGCTACTGCATTTTAGAAAAGGCTATTTTGTAATAATAATTACAGGAAATAGCTAACTTTTGTTGAGGCATTACTGTGTTCTAGACACATAGATTCCCTATGAGGTATGAGAACTATTATCCCTGTTTTGCAGATGATGAAATTGGACTTGGGAATGTCAAGAGGTAGTTAGTGAGCCAGAGATCCAGGATTTGAACGTGGGCAGTATGACTCTAGACCACTTAACCATAGTGCTTCTACTGCCTGTTGAACCTTTAGGGATAACCTGCAAAAAGGCTATTCTTTCTTATCTCCCAAAGGAAATGAATTTGTATCCTGGGTTTCAAGATCATTGGGAAAGGTATTTTCTGTAGGACATTTTGGTACTCAGTATGGACCAATCTGAAAGGATATGAGAATTCACTGGTGCCTCTTGCTTTCTGTGAGAGGTTGTAGAGTATGTGTGTATGTCTGTAGTGTATATTTTATGATCAAATATATGGACATTGTTTCAGGGAAAACTTTGAACTGGCTCATTTCCATTTGGCTGGGAGTATAATTGTATAAAACAGGTTAACTATGATTTTACAGAGAAACAGGTTTTCTGGATTTAGATTCACCATCCTGGTTGGTGGAGTGAGGGGCCAGAACGAGTAACGGAGGCAGAACAAGGGATAGAGAGGAAGTTCTTATAGGCATATTGCAAAATGTTTGTGAAGGGGGAAAATTAGGTTTATCCTGGCCACCTTGTAATGTTGATTTTTCTGTGACTTGGCTTGAAAAACATCTGGGCTCTCACTAAGGTGTTTTGGCTCAGTCTCCCAGGTATACTGGGAGGGGCCAGTGAATGCAAATGAAGTAAGAATTTAGTTTGCTTTGCTATCATGTTATAGAAGAAGTGGATGTAAAGATTGATCCTACACTTTTTGAAAAAAAGAACTATGAATATGCTTTCTTCTTTCCAGTATCCTCAGGGACAGTCTGTGTCCAGAAGGAACAAGGTTATTTTATTGATTGAAGATGATGTCAGACCCTGGCAGTGGCATGATGAAAGCTGTGGGCAAATTAAAAGTTGCAGAGTTCATACTATTTTAGTTTTGTGCACGGGACAAGAAATCTTTCTCTTTCTTTTCTCTAATAAATAAATGGTGTAGTGTTTTTCTTCTTGTGAGACTATGTGACTCTTGAAATATAGATGAACATAAATTCTTTTTTAAAAAAATTGATAAACTGGAGAGGACTCTGCAAAGTTTTGCTCTCAGGCTGATTTCTTTTTCTGTTAAACACAAACCAAAAAGGCCTGGGATGTGGGTGGGGGAACAATCTGTGTCCAGTTCACAGAAAGTGATTTGGGTTTTGAAAAGGGTGTGGAGGAGAGAGGACAAAATTAAGGGACCAAAGTGAGATTTTGGACAAGTGTAGTTTTCCCACTGAGGAGCTGAGAGTCAGAAGAAAGCCAGTCACAATGGGCATGAGGAACCTAAGTAGTTCTGGAAAAGAATTGTATGCTGGTTTCTCTCCAGGGGCTCAGGTTTAAAAGCTGTGGGCTGTTTTCTGATGTTTCCGTTGAAAAAAAGACAAATGTTTTGTTCAGAATCTGACAATAGAATCTCGGTGGTTATTTACCATAGCTCTGTTAACAGTCCAGCTTTGATTCCAATTAAAGGTTGTTTCTCTGCTTTGAAATTTGGGGAGACACCCTAAAATAATTATTTTGAAGATTGGAGATGATTCTTCTTTCAACTGTGATTATACATTGGGCCAAAACAAGATGGAAAGACAAATTTCCATGTTTGTTCACTCTATATCTGCTTACTTTATTTTTGGCAATATTGCAAGGAAATAATGTTAAATTAATCACCGTGTGGTTTTTGTGGATTTTTAGAAAGAAAATTTACATTTTGGACATGTTCCCAAAATACAGAGATGCTTTTGTGCTTTCCTTGAATTGCTTTGCTTTGCAAACAGAACCTGTGATATGAATTAAAGCTTTTCCTTTAAATGATATGAATGAATCATGGCTAGGTCAGCATGTGGTTCATGTGCATCTCACCTAAACACAAACTCCTAAGGCTTATAACCATTTTGAGTGGACCTGGTGGTATCTTCAGAAGGTCAAAGCAGAAATTATAAATGAGGATTGTCTCAAATCCACATCTGCGGGATGTTTGCATCTCATCTCTATAAGATGAGTCTGGTAGACTCCATTTGCTGAGACACTGGGGCAGAGAAAGTGTTGAAAAAACATTCTGCTTGGAGAAGAGTTGCTGTACTAGGTTTAGAAGGGCCATCATCTCTCCTACTGGAACAAGAATGAATGGGCCTCCAGGCATGGTGGTGTGTGCCTGTAATCCCAGCTACTGGGGAGGCTGAGGCAGGAGGATCATAAGTTTGAGGCCAACCTCCACAACTTAGTGAGACCCTGTCTCAAAATAAAAATTAAAAAAAGGGCTGGGATATAACTCAGTGGTACAGCACCCCTGGGTTCAATTCCTAGAACCAGCACCACCACAACAACATCAAAAGAGAAGAAGAAGAACAACAAGAAGAAGGGATGAGCCATTGATCAGGTGATCTGATTATGAACTTCATGAGCATCTGCGGGTATAGCTCAGCACTGCCTAGTATGTGCAAGGACCTGATTTAGATCTCCAGTACCAACCAGACAAAAAAAGATTGTAAGCTCCACGAGGGCAGGCTGACAAATATCTGGAATGGTCAATATGCAATAAATACTAAATGACTTGGCTGAAAAGAAGTTTTCATTTTCCTTCTGCCCATCTGAGGCTGAGAAAGTCAAATTGGGAACATGACAAATGTTCTTTCTTTTGATCCCAAATCTGCCTTATGATGACCATCTTCCTTTCTGGGATGTGGGGCCATGAACTTCATGAACCTGCCCCGCTGTACTGACAGCAATTTCACCTTGTACCTTAGGGTGAAAGTGGTTATGGTTTTTGTCGTCATCCAGCATCCCAACTGGGATGACTTTCCTAGGCCATGAGGTTAGGATGGGGCAATACTTTTCAATGTCAGACCTGAACATTTCTGTCACTTGGAGACAAGCATGACCTCAATAACAGCTGCTGGACAGTGAGGTTGCTTTTCCTAGTGGAGATGGATTTTGGCCACTCGTTTAAAAGCCAAGCACCGTGGGAAAACAAGTCATTCCCTTGGAAGGAGTGGTTTAGTTAACTGCTGGCTGTTGGTGGCAATATAGAAACGACATTTTTATTTCTCCCTCCCTTCCCCTCCTGAACATTTCAGAGTGACCAGTGGTTGGACTCTTGGCGGCGCTTACCCTGAACCTGAGTTTTAGGGGAGAGGGAATCTGCCGGTGCGGTTTCTGGAGCTGCTCATAAGCAAGAATTCCCTATCCTGATCAAGGCTTTAAGCCTAAAAGAAAGCAGAAATAGGTATGGACATTGGTGTGTGTATATGTGTGTATATGTGCAGGCATGTGCCTACGTGTTTGTGCAGGTTGGGGTGGGTGTTGCATGGGAGGGGGTGGCATACTCTTCTGGGTCTGGGACAATGCAATGTCTACATTTCTCTACTGTGCAGAGCTACACCCCAGCCTTGATTTGATTCCTTTTTTCTTTTTCCTTGCAAGAAGAAAAATAGTTCAGTAGTCATCTCTCCAGTTTCAGGCACCAAAAGAGATTTATTTTATGTTATGCTTGCCAGCCTATTAGAAAAATCCCAATTTGATAATTCAAACATGAGAGTCCTAGACGGTCACTGGGAGGTAAGGAAAGGACTAGAGAGCAAGGTTCTAAGCCTGTTGGTGATTGGTGTGCACTTCCCAAAAGAAAATGATAAATGGGACTTAAGGGGGGGGGGGGGTGGAGCAAATTGCTGTGTAGAAAAATTTGAAATCAAGTAATGATAATCATTAGGAAGTAAGGGAGAGATGACCATGTCCATTGCCAGACATATATTCTGGATCATTCCCTCCACCAACTAAGGGCAGGGGTTGATGTTTCCAGAGATACTGGAAGTTGCTTAATCTGCTATAATAAAAGGCCTAGGAATCAGGATTTCAGAGTTTTTATCCAGAAACCTGAGGCTGACCTTTATTATGACTTTCCATGTGACATTGTGTCCATTGTTACAAATTATTTCAGATCTTTAGAATGAAAGTTTCATTACTTAGCATCAGTATTTAACTACAATATTTAATATGACAGACTAATTTTCTCCAAAGAATTTTGAAGTAATGCATTTGTATACACTATATAGTGCTGAGAAAAAGAAAAGAAGGGCTGTGTGTCACCTGCCACTCGTTTTTCAGATGAGGAAACAAATGGCAAAAGAAATAAGAAATCACTTACTTAGGTTCCCCTCTAGACCAATAATATGATTAGAATTTGAATCTCAAGTTGTGTTATTATGGTTACCCATTTTACTCAACCCATAATAATTCCTTAGAAGAACTGGTGGTGGTAGAGAGGGAGACGGTAATCTTATCCTTTCCAGAAGGATGACCTTTTCATTTTTTAAGTCTTTAATGTTGACAGAGGCTCACTTAAATCAAAGAGGTGCTTCTCTTTTACACTCCAACTCAACAACAAAAATCTCAGTGACAATTCCTGGATGGGTAAAAGACAAACTTTGTCAGTAATGATTTTACCAAGTCATTCTTTACACCATGGAGCATCAAAAGTGGACAATACAGGAAAAGATATTTTTTTGGAGTAGAGAAATGGGAATGAATTGGAGGTGGAGGGGAGAGATGGGAAAGGGGCAGAACAGCAGAATGAAGTTAACTAAACTATGTCATGTCCGTGCATTAACATATCACAATGAACTCCACTTTTATGTATAATACATCAATTAAAAAATACAAATCTGAATGATCATCTTTAAAAAAAGAAATATGCAAAATAAATACAGCTTACTATAAAAAAGTATTTTTTTAAAAAGATACATTGCAAAGTCTTAGAGATTGAGAAAAAAAGATTTGCATCAGGGCAGAGATCATACCTGTCTGGTGCTAGCCAAGATCTCTTAACCTTAAATTTATTTTAGTTCTTATTTAGCATATTATAGCTCCTGTCACACATTGAACTGCTTTACAAATCCCAGCTATGGGATAGCTCTTCCCATTCTTCTGTCTCCACCTCCACAGCCATAAGACTTGGATTTTTAATTTAAATAGAGCACAGAGAGATGAAGCCTGTGAATGAGGGCCTTGGAAAATTGCTCCCTCTCATCACCCTGCTTGACTACTCCAGGTCACCCCCGTCTTTCAGGAATTAAGTCAAGATTGAATACTTAAATCATGCTAGATGTGAAAGTGGAAACAGAGCTCTTTTGCCTCCACGTCCCTCATCATATCAGTGCTAGAGCCAGGAAACCCAGCAATTACGTTGTTATTTCTAAATTCAATTTTTCTACTTTGTTTCTGCAATGGAATCCTCACCCCCAAATATCCATGTTCTTCCCCTTTAGCGGACTGATTTATCCAACAACTGGGTGTTAAGCTTCCTGTTTCCCCTTCCCAGGTCAAGGGCAGCCCAGGTGCCCAATTTCTCTCTCTCTTCACAAGGCACCACCAGCGATAGAGATGAGAAATTCTGAGGAACAGCCAAGCGGAGGAACCACAGTATTGCAGCGTCTGCTACAAGAGCAGCTTCGCTATGGCAATCCTAATGAGAATCGCAATCTGCTTGCCATACATCAGCAAGCCACAGGGAATGGCCCTCCTTTCCCCGCTGGCAGTGGGAACCCAGGCCCTCAGAATGATGTGTTGAGTCCCCAAGACCACCACCAACAGCTTGTGGCACATGCCGCTCGGCAGGAACCCCAGGGCCAGGAAATCCAATCAGAAAATATTATCATGGAGAAGCAGTTATCTCCTCGAATGCAGAATAATGAAGAACTCCCGACCTATGAAGAGGCCAAGGTCCAGTCCCAATACTTTCGAGGCCAACAGCATGCCAGTGTTGGAGCTGCCTTCTATGTCACTGGAGTCACTAACCAGAAGATGAGAACCGAGGGACGTCCATCAGTCCAGCGGCTCAATCCTGGGAAGATGCACCAAGATGAAGGACTAAGAGACCTCAAGCAAGGACATGTCCGCTCCTTGAGTGAACGACTAATGCAGATGTCACTAGCCACCAGTGGGGTTAAGGCACATCCACCTGTTACCAGTGCTCCCCTCTCCCCACCACAACCCAATGAACTCTACAAGAATCCCACAACTTCCAGTGAATTCTACAAGGCCCAAGGGCCACCTCCCAACCAGCATAGTCTGAAGGGCATGGAACACCGAGGCCCCCCACCAGAATATCCTTTCAAGGGCATGCCACCCCAGTCTGTAGTGTGCAAGCCCCAAGAGCCAGGGCACTTCTATAGTGAGCATCGCCTGAACCAGCCAGGGAGAACAGAGGGGCAACTGATGAGGTATCAGCATCCCCCTGAGTATGGAGCAGCCAGGTAAGAGAGTTCCCTTTCTGTCATTTCCTGACCTCATCCCTAGCCAGCCCTTCTGCTGAGTGTTGGAAATATTAAGGGAAGGAATGCGCAGGTGTAAGGAACTCCAATAGCAATGCATGGCTTACCTGTGGCTCAGTAAATTGCCTGTTAACCAGAATTTTAGTCTCTTGAACCATAATTAGCACTGTATTGACATTTCCTTGACTTATAGGTTGGGCATGGACTTGACCGCATAGTGGATGAAGAGGAGCATAAGTCTTGATTTCAGTAGCTCTTTGCTGCCCTATCTCCTAGGATCCTGAAGGAAGGGTCAATGTTTCTCTTCTTGTGCATTATTAAGCTCTTCTTTGAGAAGCAGAAGCAAATGGTCTTGGACTTTACTTTGCAACATCCTATCACTTCCACACATTCCCATCCGTAAAACTCTCATCATTTATTTTTGTGAACAAATCTGTTTTCCATTAGTTGTACATTTTCCATAGAATTGCTATGATTCTTTTGGACATTGAATAAACAGTCAGATATTATGGCGAGGGGAGCTATATACATGTTCAGGTTCAGAATATACTTTGTAGCTCATGAAGTTTTGTCTGCTTTGTATTTTTTTCTGTAGAGTGTTTGTTAGTTGCTTGTTGTGTTTTTAAACATCTAAGTTAAATTCACATCATATCTTGTAGAAGTTTGCCAGATGCTAAAATGCACAAAGAGAAATGTTCCTATGATTTCTGTTTTATAAATTTGGTTCTCCCTAAATGTACCTCTTATATATCCAGCCAGTTGCCCCATGTCTTTATCCACCAGATTTTATGATTTCATGGTTTTCTTCATTGTTCTTATTGTTAGTCTTTGGGCCATGTTGCTGATATTGATATCCATATTTCAGTATATGCAGCAGGCAAAAGTTTAAGTGGTGGGCAACAATATTGGCAGTTCTGTGTGCTATTCCTGCACAGGTCAGGAACATGGGTAATGATGGGTGGCCATAAGTTAAAAGTCCTGACCCTAGGTTGACCCTCTTCCATAGGTGACCCACAGACTAGATCTGTGATTTCTCTCATGTCTACCTCTTTCCCTCCTAAAACCCTCTTGGCTTGAAGTTCACTGGGTGACTCAGGAGAGAAGACACTCACTCAGGGGGTAGAATAGAGTAGAAGTAAGAAGAAGGTACCTGGCATTTCCTGATATTTCCTTTTCTCCCCCTCTGCATCCTGTTTTTTTTTTTTAACCAGAGGCAATTTACTTTGAGCTCCACCCCTAACTTTTCCAGTTTAGGATATTCCCCCCATTAACCCTGGTTGATTTCCTAAAGCCTTTGTAGCTTTCAAAGGGTAGAGGCCTAAGTTCTGATAAGTGTCTTAGAACAGGAAATGGGGTAAGGACAAGTCCATTCATCTTGAAACCAAAGCAAGAACCCAATTCTCACCTGCCCAGTGAAACATAAGACCCAGGGAGGGACTGTTCTGTTGGACTGCAGAGCTTGGTGGAAACCCATTCAAGCCAGAAAAATGTCAATGAAGCTGGCAGTTTTTGTTTTGCTGTTCCCATCAGTATGGAAGAGTCTGTGGGACTCCCTCCAGTCTGTGGATGGGCTGACGCTGCGTTGTGGGTGTGGAGCAGAAGCCAAAGCCCCACTCAGCACATGGCCCGCCTTCCCAGGAAAGCTATTTTCAGAACTCATTCACCAGTATTGTTTGTGATCTGAAATGACGCCCACAGTGTTTGAAGCTAGATGGAAAAGCCCTTTGATCTGCCTAAATAAATAATGAGACAAAGAAGTTTTTTTTTTTCCTTTCCATACTGATTAAACCACCAGAGAAATTTAGCTCCATGGATCTTATAGAATGATGCCTATCTTTTCTCCTACCTCCTAAATTGACTGTGACTCTCACTATCCCCCAAGCAAAAAATACTACGCTGACATGTCCTCTCTTTTTTTTTCTTCCCTTTCTTTTCCTCTTTCTTATGGCCTGGGGATGAAACTCAAAGCCTTCACACTAAGCATGCTATCATTTAGCCACATCCCCAATATACAGCCCATCGTGAGCAGTGTTTTTCTAACATTCATTTCTCAATGGCACAGGGGCAGAGTGATTAATATGCTTGGTGAATAATCAAACCTAAAACAACCCAAGTCAGAGGATCCCCTATGTGAAATTTGGTTGGGCATCAGGCAAGTTCTGGCTGCAAGCTCTATACTGACCCTGTGTGAGGGAGTGGCACTTATTGACAGATTCCTGGCAAGAGGAGGTAGTTGAACGGCTTTCCAGAAGCACACTGCTGTTAGGTGGTGACATATTTTTCCTCCTTTATTTCCTTTAACCAGCTAGCTTTATTGTTTGTGAGTACCTTTCCAAGTAATTGCTGCTAGCACCAAACCTTAGAGGACTAAATTCTTAGTTCTTAATCCACAAATTAGAGATCAGTATGCAAAGCTTTTTGAACAAATTGCTGTTAAAAAAACCCAAAACTTTTTTGTTTGCCTTTAGAGGTGCAATGAAATGCTGAAGATTTGCTGTAAAAATGAACAAAATGTTATAAACAATCTTTTGATTACTTCATCTTCCCTATGTCCTCCTCCCTACTTAGAAAATAAATATCTTGAATGCCCAAATCTCCAGATGGGAAACAAGGCCAAGCCATCTGAAGCATTTTACAATTTTTGAATCTTTTTGTTTCTAAGTGCTCTGAGCCTTTTCTACATCCTGGGTTTCTATATTTATCAACTGCTTTTAAAAATTAAATCATTTCTGTTTACAAAAGTAGCCACCTCCTTTCAATTGTTGAAATCATGCCCAGATCTGATGTTTCTTGAAATCTTTGTTGAGTGGAATCTCAGGGTGACCTAACACTGTAGTTCAGAGTAGAGCTGGTTGTGCAAGCAGAACCATCCGGAATTCTCAGCCTGCTCCGGGACTCACAGATTCACCATTACAGAGCCCAGGAGAGGCATCATTCAGGTGGTGAGGATAAGTTGTACTGCAGGCTGTTGGTGGCACCTGCTCTGATAACAGTGTGTGTGTGTGGGGGGGGGGGGGATGGGCTTGATGTGTGGGCAGGTGTGTGTGGACATGCATACTTGTGTGTCTGGGAAGGGTGGGGACTCTTCAGTCATGGAGGTGGCAGGGTGGAAGGTACTATATCAGATGGGTGGAATGTCTTTTACTTTTCCTTTGTGTCCTCACAAGCTGTTTCTTGGGGTGGGGGGAGCGGGTGAACCACTCCCAGCCCCTGGCTTTGGGGAGGACTCTAGTTTTAGTTGGTGGCCTCTGTCCTGCTTGAATGGCTGTGTCCCCTTTTCTGTAGAGCCCAGAGTCCCAGATAGTTTTAGGAAGGAGCAGGATGAAGGAGGAGGGAAGTGGCAGGGAGGCAGGCCAGGTCTTCCACAGGGTCATGTGATTCTATTGTCTGCTGGGTGGCTTGTTGTTCCTGGTTAATGTGTCAGCAGGGAGCAATTCCAGCTGCTGTGGGGTGGAAGGACCTGGAGAGTGTGTCTCTCATGTGGTTGCCACTTTTATTATTATTATTATTATTATTATTATTATTGCTCTTATTATTATTTAATCTTCAGTGTATTTTGCTTCCTATGACATTGCCCATATTTCTCCTCCACCCCCGACTTTTCCTCTTCTCATCCCCATATTAATACTGTCCTGCTTTTTGGTGGTGGGTGGACTGCTGGTGCCCAGATGGAATTTTTTTGCTGGAGGGCTTTCTCAGATCCTTTGAGACTGTCCAAGACTTTGCTTGTTTGCCAATGACGGACTACCTTAGTTTTCCCACCATCACAGTGTGCTGAGATATGTTTCCTTTCCCAGCCAGGGGGAACTGAGGGGCAGCCACCTTTCTCTGTTTATCTTCATCCTGGGCTTATCTGACCCTGGAGACCTCCTTCCAGGAAACCTTGTGGCCTCCTCCTTTCCGAGCTCCCGGTGGTGGCTGTGTACTGTCTAGGGCCTGGAAGAGCCTTCTAGCCTCCAGGCAGAAGGGAGGCCGATGGCTGAGTCTATTTGAAATAAAGGCCTGATTTGCTTGATGGTGCCCAGGGGAGCTGTGGGGAGTAAACCCAGTTCAGAACTAGGCAGTAAGTCTTTAAAAGAGAACACCTCCCAGGGGTCAGGCTTTCAAATCCTGGAAACCAGGACAAAAGTTAATGTAGTGATTTTTCCCTTAAATTTCAAAAATTATGAAATTAAAATTGTAAAATTTTAGTCCCTCTCTTCTGCCCAAGAGATGCAAAGGCCCCCAGCAAATCCTAGGACATTGTATCTTAACTCTAGGAACACATACACATTATAACATCACTTACTCAAAGAAGAAAGAGAGGACATTTTTCATTTTACCTATGTTGAAACTGAAAGTCCATAGAATAGAAAATGGAAACTCTTTGCCAAATAAGTTTATAAATGGTGCCCAGGCTTTTGTTGAAAAGAGTATCTTCAGCTCTTGGAAAGAAAGATTCTGTTTGGCATCAACTTTCTGGTTGTGATCTTGAGTACCAATCATATCAGTTGTTTGTGCCCAAGTATATTGTGTGCCCTCTTTAATATTCAGCAAGTATAGTGACACACACACACACACACACACGAGCGCGCACACACATGAAATTGGAAGAATATGGATGTACCAGATGCATATGGAGCTAAGGGAAAGAACCAGGGTTTGAGCAGTTTTGAGGGCTTTTGTGAACATCAAGATTATTTGACATCCACAAGCAAGTGTTTGGAATGATTTGGTAGCTGTAAAAAACTCTTATAGTGAGGAGCTCTTGTAGGGATAGATAAATGAACAATAGTGGTAACTGGAGTGTGTGTGGGAGGCATGTGCTTTAGCATCTGGAATGCCAGTTAAAAGTTAATTGCTGGGCTGGGATGTGGCTCAGTGGTAGAGCACTTGCCTAGCATGCATCAGGCCCTGGGTTAGATCCCCAGTACTGGAAAGAAAAAAAGAAATAAAAGTTAATGGCTCCCAGTGATTTGTCTCAGTTCCATCATAAATTTTATGCATAGTAATGCAAAGATTAAATGGGTAGCTTATAAGTGCTATGTTAACAAGGTCACCCCATCAAAATTGGGAGCTGGATAAGAGACTGTCATTTCTATTGAGCTAAAAAATATGAATTCCTCAGTATTTTTGCAGTTCATTTGGAATCTCAGGAAAGAAATGGACTCAGACAGATTAAGTAATTTGAAAAAAAAAATAATTTAAACAAGGAGTAGGCAAGGTCTCTAAACTCTTCCTGTTGGGATCCAAATTCCATGCTCTTAGCCATCTGTCTTCCTTGGATTGACAAGTATCAACTGTAGGACAAGCGTCCCCAGGACGTGGGAGCACATGAGGTTAGTTGGGCATGTGCTGCAAGGAGGGTGAACAAGCTTTTTGTCTTTGGTGCACACCAACAGATATTCTTTCTGGTAGTGGTGTTTGGTTGGAAGTGTTCCATCTACAAACTCTTGATTGTTTTTCTTAGTGCTAATAGTCATTAGGTACAAATTATTTGTACCTGGGTATTAGTATTTTGTACCTAGTAATTAGATGCAAAAGTTGGGAAAGCCACATTAAACAATGTACCAAAATTGTCTTTCTGAAACTATAAGCAATAAGCTGTAGATCTGAACATCAGTACATACATATCAATGCATTATGGCAGTAGAAATAGCCAGGAAATATGAATAAGGAAAGAAGTGCTCTGCCTTGACACTACCACTAACTCACTCTGAACTTAGCACGTCTCTTGTTTTTCATGTGTCCAGGGATGGAGCTGCATGAAATAATTGCTTTAAGACATTTCTGGCTCTTATATTTTGTGATTCAGTACATCAAAAATAGTATGATGATGTTGCCTGTAACCTCCTCCAAGTCTTGGTACTGTTACTACTAATGGACATCATTAAGTTATCAACAACTGAAATGAATAAATAAGAATTATTTGGTGTTTTTAGTGTAAAATTCTACATATTTTTGAGTGTTTTTTTTTTTTTTTTTGATAAGTATGAATTCTCTAAGCCAGGTCCAGGTAGGAAGATGAAGGGAAGTTTTGGTGGCTGTTGTCTCCAAAACAAGTGAGACATGTTTTCTAAATTTGAATCTTTATGTGTGCTAGACCACATACATAATGTTATTTCTAACATTAGGTTTAGTTTAAAATAATAACTTAAAAATTACCTTGTAGAAGATCATTTAAAATACTTATCAGACTTGTACATTCCTTAGATTTTCACAATGACTTTGGAGGTCATCTGGTTCTATTATCCATGTGATCTTACCTGTATCTGTCTGGCTCACAGGTTGAGCCACGAAAGAACTGTAGAGGTTTCTGCAGGGATCCTATAGTCTGACTCTGCCTGCTTCTCATTTTGCAGGTGTCTTGGGGGCTCCAGAAGCCTCCTCCTATCACTTTTTTTTGCCCTACTGGGGATTTAACTCAGGGGTGCTCTACTACTGAGTTATATCCCCAACCCTTTTTATTGTTTTATTTTAAGACAAGGTCTTGCTAAGTTTCCCAGGCTGGCCTTGAATTTGAGATCGTCTTGCTTCAGCCTCCTGGGTTGCTGGGATTACAGGTGTGTGCCACTGCACCCCACCTCATGTTACTTTCTTGTTCCCTTTTTCTTCAGTGCTTCCAGAGAGAACTTAACCACAGGCTCCCTTTTGTGTTTTCCAGGCCAACGCAGGACATCTCCTTGCCATTGTCGGCCAGGAACTCTCAGCCTCACAGCCCTACTTCTTCCCTGACATCTGGAGGTTCCTTGCCCTTGCTGCAGTCTCCACCATCTACCAGATTGTCTCCAGCCCAACATCCCTTGGTTCCAAACCAAGGTGACCACTCAACTCACCTTCCTAGGCCACAGCAGCATTTCCTTCCTAATCAGGTTCACCAGGGCGATCATTACCGTCTCTCCCAACCTGGGCTGAGTCAGCAGCAACAGCAGCAGCAGCAGCAGCATCACCATCAGCAACAGCAGCAGCAGCAGCAGTCAGGAGAAGCCTATTCAGCTATGCCTCGTGCTCAGCAGTCAGCTTCTTATCAGCCCATGCCAGCCGATCCTTTTGCCATTGTTTCCAGAGCCCAGCAGATGGTTGAGATCCTCTCGGATGAGAACCGAAACTTGCGGCAGGAGTTGGAAGGGTGCTATGAAAAGGTGGCCAGGTTGCAGAAGGTAAGGTTCCCATTGGGGGATATTAGGGTCTCCATTTTAATCTTACTAGTAGGAAGCCATTGTGATGGTACATACTTGTATTCCCAGCAACTCAGGAGGCTGAGGCAGGAGGATCTCAAGTTTGAGGCCAGCTTTGGCAACTTAGTGAGACCCTGTGTCAATATAAAAAAGAAATAAAAAGGGGGCTGGGGTTGTAGCTCAGTGGTAGAGCACTTGCCTAGCATGTGTGAGGTGCTGGTTTCGATCCACAGCACTGCATAAAAATAAATAAATAAAATAAAGGTATGTGTACATCTACAACAAATAAATAAATGGGAATTTAGGGGTGGTAAAGCACCCCAGCGTTCAGTCCCTTGTATCCCCCCCAAAAATCTTAAAAGTTTCTACTTGTGAGTGTCTGAAGACAGGCAAGTGTTCAGAATTTTTGTGTCTGAAGGTCAGATATGGGTCAAACTTTGGCATAAGCCTTTTGCCTCTCTATGTCAGAGAAGTAACAGTTTACATTTATACTAGGAGGAAAAAAAGTATATAATTTTTCCAGATGTCATGGCCCTAAAGAAAACTTAATTGCTCTAGAATTCCAAAGTGAACAGGGATACCTCTTCATAAGGCCAGGATCCCTGTGTCAGTAGAGAACTTGCCAGCACTTGAAGGCTTTTGGTCTTGATTATTTTTGCCAATATGGATTTGAATCTTAAATATAAAACCATAGTTCACAGTTCCTCAAAAAATTCTCACCAGCTGAAATTAAAGCCTGCCCTGCCTTGTTCTGGAAAAGGTTGAGAGTATTCTTCCTAGTGGGAGTTCTCCTAATCATTTTTTTTCAACACTGACCCCCCTCCCCTATTTTGCTTTGGTTCTTCCCTGAACTCAGATTCAACATCTGTTCTCTTTGTCTGGTGTGTGTGTGTGTGTGTGTGGTGGGGGGGCAGGAGCTGCTTAGCACCACAGCTGGGCGACAGGTGACAGTTCTAGGCTGAGGAACTAGAAAAAGGAGTGTGTGTCCCCAGTTCACATTCTTCCCTGGGCCCCTCCTATCTCCTGCAGCCGGGACTTTAGCTCTTGAGTGCTCCAAGCTAGGAATCTTAGTTCTTGGCCTCCAGTGGCTGTTGGTGAATAGAGTTTTATGTCCTTGGCAGCCACTTGCAGTTTTGTCATTGTGGAGCTCTTGTGGCTTGATTTCCCTATCTTCTGCACTTTTGAGGGAGGTGAAACTAAAGGTGAGGGAGGGAGGGAGGGAGGGGACATTGTCTTGTATTGTTGAGCAACTCTGTCCTTAGGAGACACCAGGAGGAAATTTCAGGGGCCTGGATGAGGCTGAGAATTTGCAAACAGGTCTGGGTCCTAAAGTAGAGGAAGGCTTATCTTCAGCTAAGCATTTTTATGCAGCTAAAAAAGCTCTCCCTCCTCCAGTTTCCTTAAACCTGAATGGGGCCTGCTGAAAAGTGGAGTGAGACCTCTTTCTCTCTGACTTGTCCCTGGTTTTGTACTTTTTCCCTCTTCTCATTTTAACTGTGTCTCTTCCTCCATCACTTTGATGCAATAAATTAATTCTATCATACACTAGATACACAGTTTGGATGATTAGGTTAATAGTTGACACCCCTCCCCACACTCTCCATTCAAGGTGACCCCAGCCCCATCACTAAAAGATGAACCCAGATCTTCTATAAGCCCTCTTGCCACAGGATTTATGGTAATTTGGGGGGGGGGGTTGGGTTGGATGACAAGAAAGAAGAATTTTTGTTGGTTTTTATTGTTGTTTGCTTCTCTGGATATGAAAATATATTTCAAATAAGTGTAATTGGCATAGCCTGAGTATCAGGAGAAATGGAGGCCAAACTAGTACTAAGGTGAAGGACAGGGACAAGAGGGGGGAGAAGAGGAAAAGGAAAGTGGGGGAAATAAGGTAGATACCAGATGGTGCTGGAAAAAATAAGAAAGCAGAAGCTTATGAGGGTAATAAGTAGACAAAGTCTGGAAACTCACTATCACCCTCACTTCCCCCTGTCCCCACTATCCCCCTGACCATGTCAGTGGATGTGCCCTTCTGTGAATTGTGTCATGGAAGACCCTATTGACTGATGGGAAACTTGCCTTGCCCTTGTGAAGTGTTATGATTTGGATATGAGAAAACCCCCGTAAGTTCGTGTGTTGGTGTAGGAATATTCAGAGGTGAAATTAATGGACTGTGAGAGCTATAGCCTAATCAGTCCATTCTAGTTTGAATGGACTGAGGAGTGGTAACTGTAGGCAGGTGGGTTAAGGCTAGAGGAGATGGGTTACTGGGGGTGTGACATTGGGGTGTATATCTCCTTGGTGAGCAGAGCTCTCTTTCTGCTTCCTGACCCTGCCAGGAGCTGAGGAACTTTCCTTTCCTGGGCCCTTCTCTCATGATCTGCTGCCTCCCTTAGGCCCAGAGCAATGGAGTTGGCCCACCATGGAATAAATCTATGAAACTGAGCCCCAAATAAACTTTAAGTTTTCTAAGTTGCCTTTTGGGGGTATTTTGGTCACAGCAATGAAAAGATGATTAATGCATGAAGAGTACAATATCTCCACAGGGCTTGGGGGAGGGATTAGTACCAGAACCAGCAACAGCAGTCTAAACACCTTGAGTGAAGTTACCAATGCCTTCCAAGTGTTGCATACTGTGAGAACCTGGAAGCCTCCCTCCCTCCCTCCAGACTGTCCAGAGCAGGCCAGTACCAAGCCTGGTCTTTCAAATGGAAATGTTTATTTTCTGTATCCAGCACTTGAATTTCATGCAAAAGCTTCATCAGACACAGGCCTTACAGATCTTGTCTCTAAATGCCATTCACCAGCTTTCACCTTCTGTGCTGCTATCTCGGTGCCATCTGCAAGGAGAAAAGCACTTTCAAGTCTGCTCTTTTCAGTGGTATAAGCCTCATTTGTTTGTAGGCAGTCCTGTCTCAGGCAGGATTTTGGAGATGGGGGCAGGTTGAATTGAGTTGTTTGGTAGCCCTACCTTTCTCCCCACTCTCCCACTGGGGCCCTGATATTTCTCCCCATAAAGCACCCTGAGCTTTGTTAAGGAGTTTAGTGGAAAACTGAGAAGGAACACAGAATGGTTTCAGGAATTAGACTTAATTTGAAAATTGACTAATAGGCCGTGGGGTTTATTTGTCTTATACAAATCATATGCAAATAATTTCTGTGGTTATTACATGTGCAGTGGAGCTATCCTGGTTAAAGAAAGACTCTGGAGTCTAATTTCTTGTTTTCTTCCTGATTCTGGTGGATTCAGGACAAGACCTTTTGTCTTTGTGGGCTTTTTTTTTTCCTTTTTTTCTTTCATTTTACGAGATTTGCAGGGGTGTCATAAAATACAACTCTAATCATGAATTTCTGTTCAAAAATCTGTACTGGTTTCCCACTGACTATGGGATAAAGTCCAAATGCCTGGCATTAAAAGCCTTTTATGATCTGACTCCAATCTATCTTCACAGCCATATCTTGCCAGCTTCCCTCTGTGTACCCCACAGTGTCCAGCCAAATGAGGCTACTGGTCATTCTGGGAATGCATTTGCTCACTCAGAATAGAATACCCTTCCCCTCACCTCTGCCCATTGAAATCTGACCCAGCTTTGAGGATCTGACTCTAAATGCCACCTACTCCCTGAAATTGTTCTCCTCCCCCCACCAGGAATAATTTATTTCTTCCTTCTCTGTATTTTATAGCACTTCTCTTTTTCTCCTCTCTCTCTGGTGCTAGGGCCTTGTGCATGCCAGACAAGCAATCTACCACTGGGCCACATCCCTAGCCCTTTTTATTTTGGTACAGGGTCTCACCAAAGTTGCTCAAGCTGACCTCAAGCATGTAATCCTCCTGCTCCAGCCTCCTGAGTCTCTTGGATTAAAGAGTGTGCCACCTTTTTCCTAAAAGTGGATGTTGCCCTATATTCTTTGACTTGATTAGATTGGAAGCTCCTTGAGGACAAAGAGAATGTTCTCATTCATATTCACACACCACAGTGCTTTAACCAGTTCTGATTACTGTTTGACCCTTGCTTAAATGTTTGTTAAAAATAATACTGAAGTTTCAGATTTTTAGGGCCTGTTTATTCCACTAGGTAGATAACAGGATAAATTGAAGTAAACATGTGAAAGCCCTTTATATGCTATGAAATTAAGATGTCCTCATATTATATACTTTATTATTAATATTTTCAAAATCAAGGAAATATTTATTCAGAAATTGAAATTTATAACCCTTTTTATGAAGTTCATTCTATCCTATCACCTTTTATGAAGGTAGAAGTCATATATACATATGTTGTTTATAACCTCAGGAAGTCTTTTGAAATATATACTTACCAAACTTACCATTGAACTTGGAATGTTTTCCTTGAAAATTTTCTCTTGTGGCTGTGTTCTTATTGCCTCATGGCCATCTGGGAGAAACTGTCACTGAGGTTTTGCATATGTGTTTTCAGACCATCTTCCCCATCAACCTCTTATCATTACCACCTTTCTTGCTTTTTATGTTAAGGTGGAGACAGAAATCCAGCGGGTCTCAGAGGCATATGAGAACCTAGTGAAGTCATCCTCCAAAAGAGAGGCTCTGGAGAAAGCCATGAGGAACAAGTTGGAGGGCGAGATTCGGAGGATGCATGACTTCAACAGGGATTTGAGAGGTGAGCAAACCGGTGGGCCTACTTTTGTGTTTGTGGGGGCAGCTGCAAGGTGATGCTGGGAAGGGCTGACAAGGATCTGATCAAGCTCTTCAGGATCATCCAACCTCTTGGTGTGGTCAATGGTAAGTTGCAGAGACTCTGCCAGGCTAAAGGTGTGTGTGTGTGTGTGTGTGTCTGGAAAAGTATTTGGTCTCAAGCTTGCTTAGTGGGGAGATAATATCTGACTGGCCTTCCGGTCAATTAATTGGGCAACAATTCTTCCTGATATTCTAGACCCACCTAGCTCACCCCTACGATTGGTACAGCCTCTCTTCCTTTGTAGGTCTTGCACAGGTATGTCTTTGGGCTGTACAAGCTTGAAATAGTGATTCCCTTTGCTGTTTGCTAGGGGCTCACTCCTTTCTTTTATTTTTATCTTCACCTGATGATATTGAAGATGCTGGCAAATGTTTCTACTTTAAATCACCATCAACACCTTTAAAACTGCTGCCCTTGGGGATGTTATTTTCTGTCTTTGGATTTCAGTTATCTGTAAAATCAAGGGACTCAACTAGATGTTGTCATGGGCCATTTCTAGCTTTAACATTATATGATTTTGAGAACTTCACAAGAACTGTGATGTTCTTTTTTTCTGGTTAATGAAAGTCATCTTTATAAATTTGAGGATGGAGTATTTCATTGAAATGTACAATTCTACATCTATACCAAAAGGTCATGAGGAGTGAAAGAGTTAAGTCCTTATTCCCTTCTTCCCTGCTATTGTTTTGGAATTCCTGTTTGTTAATCTCTGTGCGTGTCATCCATTCCTACTACGTGATGAGAAGATGCAAACTTGTTTTGCCGAAGGTCAGTAGTTAAGAGGGCAAACAACATGTGCTTGGTAATTTATATTTGGGGCCCTGTTGATTATCTCCAAATTCCAGAGCGTCTAGAGACAGCCAACAAGCAACTTGCGGAAAAGGAGTATGAGGGATCCGAGGATACCAGGAAAACCATCTCTCAGCTCTTCGCAAAAAGTAAGTCTGAAAGCTTCAGAAGCCGGTGTGAGTGGGTGGATGGGAGCAAGGTGTGTGAAATGGTTGCCTGGTTCTCCTTAGCTTTCAAGAACAGCCAGGATACAGCGAATGTCATCTAGGGATTCTTTTTCCTGGTGAAGCATGAAATTGGAAGATTCTATTCTATTCCTTCTAGGCCAAGAAGTCAGCTTGACACAACATCTAATCATATCAAATGGCTTCCTCTGTATTAAACCATAGGAACTTCTTGGAATCCCTGCCATTGTTATGGCTAGCTGAAGAGAGGACCTCAATGAGCATGGGGTCCCTTAATGTTGAAGGGATGTTCTTAGAAGGTTCTATATGCTGTCTCTGGTAGGGATGGTATTAACATGAAAGATTGATTAGTGTCTGAAATAGCTAACCTGCTGCTGGGACTCCCTTAGTTAAACACTTAGTATCATATCCTATCACACTTTGACAGTTTGCAAGGGTAGCTAGAGGCCATGGCCTGAACTAGTGACTCCTGTTGCAGAATTGAAGGGTGTAGGGCAGGCAGAACTCCATCTTCCTTAGAATAGTGTTTCCTTTGTCTGAAAATACTCCTAGGACCCTAACGATGAATTAATCCTCTTCTTTATCGTTCTCTAATGAACTCCACCCAGCTACACAATGCCTAATTCTTTCCAATTGCTATAATAAAGGCAGCAATAAAAACTTCATAATAGATTGAGTCCACAGGGAGAGTAAACTGGGAGGAAACAGATGAACTGCCCTCATTTCTGCAGATGCCCAAACTTGGTTTCCCCCCTCCCCAGCCCACCTCAGTGCAGCCCCTGCTGTACTTGCGCTTGGTAGGGACTTGTCAATCTTCCATCTTTGCTGGGCCTCCCAATGACCCTTTCAAGTCATTCTATGCAGCTTCCAGTCAGCTTTTACAAGTTTGTTTGATCTTCACTTACAAAGTTCCCCTCCCTGCCTGGGTTGCTCTGTTGTGCTCTGGCTTCAGAACAGAGTATTTCTTCCTCTTTTTCTTTCTGCCCCCTGTTCCTTTGTCAGTAGTCTTAGATCAAGGAATATCGTTTTTCTGGTGGCATTGATGCCCAGTGTGAATTGTTGTGAAGTTGGTTTTGTGGTGTCACAGTTGCCCTGGAAGCTAGTTCAGTGACAGAGAGAGGGTGGCAGCCTCCCAGAACAAAGCAAAACAAAACAAAACGTATAGATTCTTGCCCTGGATCTGATAGTTCGTACTCCTCTCTGTGTAGAGATGGTATTTCAGGTGTCCTAGGAGCTCTGCTACAGTTTTATAGAATGTGATAATTTACTAGATCAAACTACCTTAACAGCAGGGTGAAAAACTGTCAGATAGCTCTAGAACTAGACAGGGAAGAGAGCATGACTCTTGGCCTCCTTTATTTCTTTTGCCTTTGGATACCAAGAGGGCCCTGCATGGTTGGAACTATGGCAGAAAGAAAGAAAGGCCTTTTGAAAAGCCTCCCTGGGGTGTGCACTCCAGCAATCCCAGAGTTCAAACCAACTCAATCCAGAAGGCAGTCCGGCATAGTAGAAAGAATAGAATAACTTGGGCTTAAATAAGAGCTCCACTCCTTATTTACCAATTGTGGGTCCTTGTGCTAGTTAGTCATGCTCTCCAAATCTCTGTTTCCTTATATGCACAATAGAGAAGAGAATAATACCTGTCTTGTATGGTTGTTCTGAGGATTAAGTCAGTACAATACCTGGTAAGCAACCAATGTACATTTCTTTCCAAGGTACATCTGCTCACACAGATGTATGTAAAGTCACAGTGGGAAGGTAGAGTGAGGCTGTCCTGTGGAAGTTTCTTTTAAGGTTCAAAGTCTTGAGAAGAGAATATTCAACCTCCAAATCCAAATCCAACTACTTATTTGAGTTTTTGGTGAGAGGTCTGTTCTAGTTACGAGGAGAGGGACCTAGAAATGCATAACTACTTATATCATAAGTAGTTTATGTATATGTCATTATGTAACTATAATATAATCCTAGATTCAGAAATGTAGATCAGACAAATGTCAACCTCTCAACCTGAAAACTAGTATAATGCATCTGTCACATCTCAATGAAAAACATATATACATATATATGCCTTTCATTATATATATATATATATATATATATATATATATATATATATATATATAAATATAAAATGAAAGACATATATATATATATACTGGGACTTGAACCGAGTGGCACTTAATCACGGTGACACATCCCTAGCTCTTTTTATTTTTTATTTTGAGACAGTCTTGCTAAGTTACTTAGGGCCTTGCTAAGTTGCTGGGGCTGGCTTTGAACCTGCAATCTTCCTGCCTCAGCATCCTCAGTTGCTGGGATTGCAGGCGTGTGCCATTGTTCCTGGCAAAGGGTATATTTTGAAACTGCAGATTTCCTTTCATTATGAGATCATGATGATTATCTTTATAGAAGAAGAAGTTCCTCTGGTGTTTCTTTTTTGCCTTTGGATGCTTGTTTCATTTAAATAAACTTATCTCTTTTGATCCTTAACAAATATCATGAGGTTAAATAAGATGGCATTGTTATCTCTGTTTTAATCTCTAGAATTTTTATTCTTTCTTAGAATTTTCACACTCACATTACTCATCTATTCTTACATTCTGTCTACTTACATTCTGTCTACTTTTTCCATTAGAACCCTTAGCATATGAATCGTAGTTGTTTTAAATTCAGGATCTTATAATTCTAGTATTCTTGCCTATCTGGCTCTGGTTTTGATACTTTCAAACTCTTTTCCCTTTTAACACGTCTTGTCATTTTTGTTGTCATTATTGAATGGCAGACATGCTGCATGGTATAAGAGGCTGTATGGTATAAGAGGAACTGTGGTAAATAGATGCTTGAATAACACCTGCCTTATAAGATTGTTCTGAGGGCAGTACACCTCTCTGATGTGGTGGTAAGTTGGAGGGGGAAGGTAAATGTTCTCTAGTCCTATTATTAGGTATCAGTCTTTTAGTAGGCCTATACCTCTGAATTGTGAACCTCATGAGTGCTTCTTAGTTGTTCCCTCCCTAAGAAGGTTGCAGGATGGCCAGAGAGGTTAGAGTTGGGTATTTCCTTCTCTCATGCAGAAGGCTTGAACAGGCTGGAGTTGGGTATTATCTTATCCTAGGTTGTTGAATCTGGAAAAAAAAATCCAGTAGGTTAGGCAAGGCTAAATTGTTTCTCTCAAGGGTAAGCCTGGTTAAGAAAAACAGAATACTGTGCCATATTTCATAATGGTTGCTTCCCCTCACTCTGCTGATAAAACAAGAGGATTTTTCTCTGATCTTCACTGTGACCTGGTCAATCTCCTGGAGGTAAGAGCTCACAAAAGCACAGAAGTTCTATTATGACTGCATCCCTGGAGTTGTCTCTCAGGTTTGTTCACACTGAGCCTCCAGCAATTCATCAATTATAGTTCAGATTTTCCTAAATCTCTACTGGTTCCTCCAGAGGTTTCTAATCCTGTGATTCTAATCTGGCAACTTGTGATTCTCTGTGTCTACCTGTCTGTCTCTCCAATTTTGACAAGAGTTTGCCCTTTGAATTCACTTCTCTGAAGGATCTAAGTAAAGTTATTGATATTTCAGTTTATTGAGCTTTTTGATTATTGTTAGGATGGAGTGGTGACTTCTAAGTTCCTTTTATACCACAACAGAGACCTGAGGTCCTGTTATTCTGTTTTAAGAGAAGGGAAATCAGGACATGGTTGACAGTTCGATTAACTGACATGTTCAAGTCAATAAAGTTAAGGAATGGTAAGGGCTAGAATCTTGGTCCTGTTTAAACTTCTCAGAACACTTTCAGGACTGAGATATTTATTGAACCATCCTTGCATGACCAAGATAAACACCATTTCATTTTGTTACATCATTCCCTGGTACAAATTTTGGCAGATTATTTATTCTCAGAAAAAAAGCATACCACTTCAGCCAGATATTCAATTTTATTTGGGCAGTTTTGCAAAGAATATTCTTAGGGTTTTTTAAATTTTCTCTACTTCTGTGACTCTTTATCCCATTCAATTCTCATATCTTTCACTTATCCTTCTTGATGAGACTCTTTAGTGGTTTACCTGTTGCATATTATGTATACTAATCTGCTCCTGAATGTGACTAACAATTGAACAAATAGCATTGACATTTTCAGGAGCCCGTCTGAATAAGACATCTAAAATTAGGACCAAACAATGGAATCTTTAACTGATTATTGGGAGGAATAAGAATTACTTCATTGGGCTGGGGATGTGGCTCAAGCGGTAGCTCGCTCGCCTGGCATGCGTGCGGCCCGGGTTTGATCCTCAGCACCACATACAAACAAAGATGTTGTGTCCGCCGAAAACTAAAAAATAAATATTAAAAATTCTTTCTCTCTCTCTCTCACTCTCTCTTTAAAAAAAAGAATTACTTCATTGAATAAATTAATTTTTAAAAAAGAATTACCTCATTGAGATTCAGTGAGAGTAAATTCCAGGGGAATATTGAAGTAGTTCTGATCAGCTATGGGTACTAGAACAAGGAACATCCAATATAAGAAGGCAGATTGAGATAAGAATAATATATGGACCAAAGTATGGATTTTGTTTAGAGACTACATATAAACCTATATAAATTTATTAGAATGCTAACTTGTATTCATCCTCCAAGCCAAAAGGATCATGATGGGTCCACTAAACTCTTTCATTCTTTTTTTCAATGTTATTTTTGTTAGAGCTTTATAGTTATACATAGTAGTGGGCTCACCCTGACAAACATATACATGCTTGGAAACCAATTTCAGTTCCTGATCCCCCCCTTTCGCTCCTGCTTTTCCCTCCTATCCTCCCTCCCCTCTCCCATTCTCCTTCCTCTCCTTTTACTCATCTATTAATTTGTATTTGATTGGTTCTTTAGTTATCCTATCCTTCCCGCCCCATTTTCTTTATTTTACTCTGGCTTCTATATATGAGAGAAAACATTCAACCTATGAATTTCTGAGTTTGGTTTATTTCACTTAGCATGGTAGTCCCTATTTCCAACCATTTATGTGAAAATAGCCATAATCTTAAAGTCTTTCATTCTAAAGTCAAAGATCGTGTCTACACATACATACACATACCATGCACACACATATATATGTATATACATATATATACATGGTGTGTGTGTCTATATATTATAAATACACAGGTATATCATCTTATTTTTAAAGAAATCTAAACTTTCAAACTCTGATAGGTAGACTTAATTCTGCTAATTTATCAGAAAGGGAGAGTCTCAAGTAGAGGATTTTTAGGGGGTGAAATGTCTGCCTGTATTCCTCTGATCCTCATGTTTCTGATCCCAATGTTTTCCCTCTAACTTTTCCCTGTTGGTTCTGACAGTCCCTCCACACCCAGTCTAGGCTTCAGGAGAAAGAATGGGAAAGAGCATAGCATGGCTTCTAGTTTTATCTTACTGTTTAAAGACATTGACTTCCCGAGAGAAGCAGATTCTGAGATAAAGTGAGCTATGTTAGGGATGATTTTGGATTAGGAGTTCCCTGGAGAGGACATGTTGTCAAATAAACTTCATCTCAGTTAGAAAAAATGTTAGTGTGTAAAGGGTAGGATTGAGATTTTATCCGTGTTATGAAATATCAGTTTTGGTTTTTTTTTTTTTTTTTGCTACTGGGGACTTAACCCAGGGACACTCAACCACTGAGCCACATCCCCAGACCTTTTTTGTATTTTATTTAGAGAGAGGATCTTGCTGAGTAGCTTAGGGCCTTGCTAAATTGCTGAAGCTGGTTTTGAACTTGCAATCCTCCTGCCTCAGTCTCCCAAGCTGCTGGGATTACACCCATGTACCACCATACCTGGCTATGGAATATCATTTTAAGATCTACTTGATACACTGTGATGAGGAAACAATGGGAACAATTTTGTTGGGCTCAATTGATCATTTTTCAGTGCAAGAAAATTTTGAAGAAATAGGGCTGGGGATGTGGCTCAAGTGGTAGTGTGCTCGCCTGGCATGCGTGCGGCCTGGGTTTGATCCTCAGCACTACATACAAATAAAGATGTTGTGTCTGCCGAAAACTAAAAAAATAAATATTAAAATTCTCTCTCTCTCTCTCTCAAAAAAGAAAATTTTGAAGAAATAAAATTGAAAAGATGACTAATTTTCTCTTCTGATATATATGTGTATGTATTTATCCTTCTTTGTATAACGCTTCATATTTTTCATGACATTTTATATCTACTTTCTCACTGTTTCTGCACAAAGACCATTAGGTGACTTTTCTAAATTTACACAGAAAGTTTGTGATAGAGCCAGTGTTATAGTCTACATCTTGGGTACCCTGGTTCTTGAAGCTCTGTGCTAGAATAATAGCATGTCAAGTAATGTGTCCAGTTTGTCAATTTTGCTTATATAAGGCTTTGAGCCAACTCTGGGATGGAAGTCATGATATTTCATGTCCTGACAGATAAAGAAAGCCAGCGGGAGAAGGAGAAGCTGGAAGCAGAGCTGGCCACTGCCCGTTCTACCAATGAGGACCAAAGGCGACATATTGAAATCCGAGACCAGGCTCTGAGCAATGCCCAGGCCAAGGTGGTGAAGCTGGAAGAAGAGGTATGTTTTGCTCAGGTAGCATGTGAGCCTGAGGGTGGGAGAAATGGCAAAACAAGAACACTGGGCTTCTATCTTAGTGGTAGCTTGAGCAGTCTTCCAACAGGAATGTGCTGCTTCTAGTTATAGTTGTGCTGATGTAAGTGGACTTTGAATTCTTTTCTTTATTGCAAGTTCCCCTTTTTCTACAGAATAGGAAATCACTAGAGTCAGGGGGCAATTTCTATTTACTCATTTATATAATAACCAAACTGCCCTCCTACTCCAAGTTCTATATACTCAACCCTGCTTGTGAGATATATATTAGAGTGCTTTAAAGCTTTATTTTGGAAGAACCAGAAATTGATTCCAGATATTTTAAAGCATTCCATGGATCTTGAAATTAGAATGGTCCTCATCTATTCACATTTAATGGGAAATAAGTCCCCTCTTAGTCCTAAGTCCCCCTCTTAGGTCAAAAATATATCTTTGTGGCTGTACCTTTTGGACTTAGCACATTGGTTTGGCAAAAGTAGCCGCCTTGGGAAATCTGGGATAGGATAAGACTAAATTTATGTCAGGAGTACTGACCATGATCTTTGCTGTGGCTTAATGATTAGTTTTTAGCACATAGTTATGTGATGGGGGTGAATCTGTCAGCTATCAGGATGGATCCCCAAAACTATAACGCATACAATTCATGTATCTGATCAGTCTTGATGGAAATGTTACTTGCCTGCGACACTAAACTGTTCATGTCAAATAGAGGGAACTTTGCTGCTGGATTGTCCATTGATTAATCTTAAATGTCAGTTGACATTGCACTAAAGTACTACTAACTCCCAGATGCTTTGCGCTTATGGGAATGGATATATTTCAGTGAACATTGATGCTAAAGAGTAACTTAGTTAAACAAATTTTATATCTCAATTCTATTCTAAAATTTATGTTGTTTTAAGTGGAAAATGCCTTCATTATAATAAGCTAGAAGCTTTATAAACTTGATACAAAATTAAAGTGTTAGGGACCAAATACCATTCTGGCTATTGTATGTGAGGTATCTTTCCTGCCTTCATTCATTGTTTGCTTCCTGTCCCCCAGTAAGAATGGTTCTAGTTACTGGAGATCTCCTGACTTACAGATTTCCTCTGCTTTCCTTTTTGGGTATTAAAATGCTTGCTGCAATTGGGATATGGGCTCATACTTTACCAGAAGGTAATGCCATCTAATCCATTATATCCTTTAATCTGATTGATTAAGTGTTAACTTCAGGATAAAATAAAATAAAATAAAGTTGAACTCTTTCTCCATCAGTATATAATATATGCTCAGAAATATGCTAAGTTGCTTCATGAAAAGTGAGGAAGTCTTGCATTTGCCAAATATCTGTGTGTAAGGAGCTTAACACACCCTTTGGCCCTCAGTACACCTCATATATTCCCTTTCCTCTTGTTTTTTTTTGGCAAGGGATTTCCAGAGAAAATTACAGGCCAGAGTAAGACTGTATTCTTTTAGAGAAGGACAAACTAAGAGACCTGCTGAGAAGTAGCTTGCTAATGATCACATGGCAGGTCTTGGGTAGAGCCAGGAATAAAACTGGTATCTCATGACTCTTCCTTCCATAGACCCTGCTGCCTCTCTCCTTGTCTGAATCATCTTTTGGTTCAACTCCCAAAAAGAAAATGTGGATACTTGTTCAGATTTAGTAACCTCTGCATCTTTTTAAAATTACCTTTTTATTGACAGATAATAGTATATCTTTATGGAGGTAAAGTGTGATGTTTTGAACCATTTTATGCATTGTGTATTGATTGGCTCAGGATGCTTAGCTTATCCCATAGCATTTCCTTGTTATGAGACCAATACAATACATTATTGTTAACTGTACTCACCCTCTGTGTGAAGGACCATTAGAATTTATTTTTCCTATCTGATTATGGCCTTGTACCCATTAACCCTATCCCTGCCTCTCCAGTACCCTCCCTGGCCTCTACCACTTTACCATCAGAATTTGTCCAAACTGCTTTGACATTATGAGATATATATATATATATATATATATATATATATATACACACATACATACAGCATTGCTACCCTTCTGGGAAGGGTACTCATCCAGTTGGAGATACATGAACAAAATACTGCAACCTTCTTGGTTTTCATTGTTTGAGGATACAGTGGGAACTGGTTGTTAATCATGGAAATAATATGTGTGTAGGAAGAAGATGTTCATCTGTAGTTCTCACTGAGCAGCCCTCGCGGAAACAGTTGCCTGAAATATATATCTGGCTTCAGACTTCTGAGGCTTTTCTGGGCATTTGTTGCAAAGATTTCTAGTAGTTTTCCAGGGACTTGCCCCAAAATATGTAGTTTTACAATTTAATTAAGTTCTAAATATTGGCTGGGATTGAGTGAATGTTGTCTAATGGCTAGATACCTCAAATGAGCCCATTAATTATTGTTAATTTTTTAGTCTTCATCCAACTTGTACTTTCCTATAGAGTCTAATTGTTGGGGAATTCTGAGTTGCTGTTGCTAAAAGAGGTGGAACTTTTGACTGGGAGAGTAGGCTCACAGCCCTGTTTCTATCCAGTGGAATCTCAGAGGCCACATAACATCTTCCAAAACAAAGCCAGATCATATCTCTAAGCTTTCAAAATCATGTTTCAGAAAATTAGACTAGTTCTTGTGTTTTTGCTTTGTTCTAGCAGCCTATCAGAGCTGAATTTGCTCCTGGGTGGTGTTTGTCCTGTGTTTCCCATATATTCAAAGGAAAATTTTCCTTTCTATCATCCTCAAATGTATGAACTGCTAAGCAAAGTATTGCTTTTGTTCTGTGACTCAATCACCTTTAGGTCTCAGTCATTATGAGTTAAAATTTCCAGCTATGGAATATTAGGGAGGTATTTAAGGTATGTATTCTGGAACAGAACTGGTAAGGGTTCTTCATTGTGGTTCCTGTACAAAATATCAGTGAACATTTCTAAAACAAGAAAGGTATTCATGAGTACAAGACTTATCTCTCTGTCTGATGGAGATGGCTCAAGAAAAGCCATGTTTGGAGGCAGAAAGATATGCTAGATGATCTGCCTATATCCAGTGTAAACACACAACTTAGTTATGGCTCACAAATGGCAACCACAAATTCTCCTTTTTTCTTAGGCCTTCAAAGTTCTTCCAGTGAGAATGTCTTCAGTCCATGAAAATTTCTCAAAGTAGGCCTTTTGTGTGAGGGATGTTTTCTCAGCTTTCCAAGCTCAGGGTCACTCAGATAACTAGTTCTCATTGCATCAAGATGGTCAGGGAAAGATTATAGCTACTTCAGTGGTTCAAGGGTCCTTGTGTTCATTTATGTTTTCCTCTCTAGAAAGACCACATTTAGATGCCTTCCCTGAAATTCATTCCATCCTTCTAATCCCATTAAGTCACTTGCCTGGGGTTCTCTGCAATCACCGAGCCCTATACAGAAATGTGGTCTCAGGCTCACAGAGAACCTTTCTCTTGGAAACACAACTTCCATTCTCTTCAGAGTTCAGTGTAGATTCTTTCATGGATGCAGCTCTGCTGATACCCAGGGAGGTATTTTGCTGGGGAGGGGATATACCTGTTTTTTGGTGCATCACTGTGACCAGGCCTTGACACCATTCTACAGTCTGTACAGCAGGCTGCCAAACGAGGTAAATGGTGCCTTTCCGTCTTCACCCTTATCTTTCGGAACACGTAGGTCCTATTGAAGTGGAGGCTCATTAAACTCCAAGTCAAAAGAGCTCTGTGTCCTACAGCAACCACGGTATTCTCTCATTCAAAGAGAGTCTCCCCACCCCCTACCAATTTAACCTCATTGGAGAGTTTCAACGGATGCCTGGCATATACTCTCACAAGGCTAAAGGCAGCCCAGGCTTCTGGCTGGCTGCTGTCTTATGAGAATCCAGAATTGAAGCCATCGCTTGGGTAATTGTTTTGGGGATGGTGGGAAAAAGGCCTTGGCAAGATCAAAGAGGGAAGATGCTGGGGGAGGGTGGTTACTGAGCAGAGAGTGCACAGGAAAGGATACAGCAGAATGTGGGAGGGCTGGCAGAAAAATCTAGTGAGCCTTGTTCTTTGGATTTACACTAGAATGAAAGCCATAGAGATTCAGGAAGAAGGGGCCCAAGTGTTAACCTTTTCATCCAGTAGCTGCTGGATGATTTGATCATCCCATCAGTAGCTCTTGCTGGAGTACTGAGAACATTTTCCAGAGCCCTTTGCCATTCCACCCTGTTCTCCCAAACTTCCTAATCTTGTTTTACTCCATTTCCACCATTCTTAAGGCTGATATTTCTTCCTTATTTCTAGGTCCCATTCTACTTTATGTGTTTTTCCTCTCCTTTTGGGGAGTGGGAGTATTAAAGATGCATAAGTTTCTGCTACTGGACTTACCTATTAGTACCATACCTAGTCTTCTTCCCAATAGGGAAACATGTCTTAAGCATAGACATTTATACGTCTAATGCTAAAAAATAATTTTCAAACAATAGGATATTGTTGGTGAAGGTAAAATTTACAAGTGGTCATAATGGCTTATAGATTTGGATGGAAGTTCTGCCGGTGTGAATTCTATGTGCATTTAGAGTATTGATAGGATTCAGATGAAGTTTGTATCACCCTGGCATCTTCCAGGGTGTTCTGCTGATGAATCGTGGATTTATTTGATGGGCACTTCATCGAAGGATGTCACGTCTCATATTTATGACAGTGTATTTGTTTTGTAGTAGGTATGACTTCATCTAATACGCTAGCAAATAAGCAAGCAAGAAATCATGTCCCCATCTTCAATAGAGATGGAGTGACCTCTCTGAGATCAATTCTTTCAGTCTTATGATTCTGGCTTTTTAAATTCCCAAGTTGGAAATCTTATGGATTTTTCTTTAGTCTTCTTTATAACATGAGTTCTGTTCCCCATAGAACAAGTTTTTAGAGGTGGCATTTTGCTCTTCAATTCTTTTAATATCCACCCGAGGACCACAGCCTCTTGGCAATGA